ACGTGAAAGGTGCTATACAAATATAATTTGTTGTTGTGTGCATGCATAAATCACTCTGCAGGTGGGGGCATCAGTTATGTTTTAATACAAACAGGGTTTGAGTTCTCCAATGGCTCCGTTGGCAACAAATGAAATGTTTTGGTGGGTGGGACAGTTTACCACAAACGTCAGATTAATTTTAGCTCATTTCAAGTGGATTCCAGCAGTGTGCATGTCTGACTAATCCCAGCTCGTGAAGCAGAGAGTTCTATAAACCTCCTTTTTGAGCACTGCTGATTGGGTCCAAATCTTGTATCTTGTTCTGTGTGGTACAAAATGATTCTGTTTGTATCGGTTTGGAATTTTCCACCGTGACTCATACAGTTTGTCAGGGTATTGCTCATCTTTAGAGCTTTTTGTCTGGCTTAATGAAAAATGTAAACCCTCAAGAGATAACACTTTAAATTTACAGTTCCATCTCAAAATCTAGTTATACCTGACCAAGTAAATAGATTAGAAGCCAAATAATATAATTCTGGCATTTGGTATAGTGCCTTATTATGTTGTCAAACCATTTTATTTAAAATCTTCACAAAATTTTCAGTATATTTGTAGTTACTATGTATTTTGTAGGTGATATTTTGGTAAGAAAGAATCTAGGTTTGGAACGCTATATGCCATTGAAATATCTCAAAAGACTTCATAGGTACTATAATTGCAGTTAACAAAGGATATTGTACTTCTAGATTTTTAGCATCTACAGTACTTTGCGTTAAGGATATTGTACTGATGTTCTGGTCTATAATCTTCCAGAATAATTGGTCATTCATCTCTCCTTCACCTTGTGCAAAATGGCTGCCTCATTTCCCTACATAAATAGTCACTACACTTCATGGTACTTACCTGCAAAGTGCTTCAAGACATTGTGATGTGATAATACTGTGAAAATGCAATTTCCTATGATACTGTGCAGCAAGATTCCAGCTACACTTTCAACCACATCTCAGATAAAGTTTTCAAATAATAAACACCTCTTAGTTGAAACTTGCTGTGTTTTGACGGGAGTTCAAAGACTTGGGCATCACACAGAATATGACTGAGCACTTAGTTGGTGTTGTCTGGGCAAAATCCAGAACTTATCTGGAGGAGTGAAAAATAATGGCAGTTTTGGTCAGAGTTGGGTGGCTGCATGTCTTTTAGTCATCAATAGAACAGAACTGCAACCAATCTTTTAACATTTTTCAAAAACGCACAAGTTGAATCATTGTATAATAGAAAGAATGAAAAAAGCTTATATCTTTCATGTCTTTTCATATTCAAATGTCTGGAAACAGTGGATAACACAGTAATTGTGTTATCAGTGATGCACACAGCCAACTACTGCCAAGTCATAAAACGGAGAGTTGTTCATACCTTGGTTCCCAGCACTCCTGATCATGTCCACATCTTGTATCTCGTTCACTGTTGTGATTCTAGGCAATCTATTCTGCACAATTGATTCTATGATTTTATCAAGAGAAGTAGATCATTATTTGGGGAAGACAAGTTTGCAGAGAGGGGGAATGGGATTGAATTGGACAGCTCTTTTCAAAGAGCCGGCACAGACACGATGGGCCAAATGGCCTTCTTCTGTGCCAAGCTCCATGACCCCATCTCCCTCATTCTCGCCCGACTCCATTGGCACCCTATCCTTCTGGCTCTGTCCCCATTCCATTAAAAACTGCCATCATCACGCCCACCCTGAAAAAACCCTCCCTTGATGCGTCGCAGCTATCAAGCTACCGGCCCATCTCCAACCTCCCCTTTCTCTCCAAGGTCTTGGAAAGAGTTGTCGCCTCCCAACTGCGCTCTTTCCTCTCCACCCATTCTCTTTTTGAACCCCTTCAGTCAGGTTTCCGTGCTGCTCATAGCACAGAAACTGCCCTGGTCAAGGTCACCAATGATATCCTGACCATCTGTGACCAGGGCTCCCTCTGTCTCCTCGTCCTCCTCGACCTATCGGCAGCATTCGATACGGTCGACCACGCTATCCTACTCCACCGCTTGTCCTCCCACCTCAACCTTCAAGGCACTGTCCTTGAATGGTTTAGCTCTTACCTTTCCCACCGTCTTCACTTCGTCTCAACGAATGGCTTCTCCTCCACCCCCCGTACTGTCTCATGTGGTGTCCCTCAGGGCTCTGTCCTCGGTCCCCTCCTCTTCACCCTCTATATGCTCCCCCTCGGTGACATCATCCGCAAACATGGGGTTAACTTCCACATGTATGCGGATGACACCCAACTCTACCTTTCCTCCTCTACTCTCAACTCCACGACCACCGATGTCCTGACAGCTGCCTGTCCGACATCGAGTCCTGGACGAGAGACAACTTTCTTCAGCTCAACGTGCGAAAAACCGAGGCCCTCCTGATTGGCTCACGTCAGCGCCTCCGCACCTCAGGCGCTGACACCATCAGCATCCAAGGCTGCACTCTCCACCTCTCAAAGCCAGTCAGGAACCTCGGCGTTTTGTTCGACCCTGAGCTGTCCTTTCTCCCTCACATCCGCACCACAACTGGCACCGCCTTCCATCACCTCCGGAATATCGCCAGATTACGGCACTACCTCACCCCTCACGCTGCTGAAACCCTGGTTCACGCCTTTGTCACCTCAAGGCTGGACTATGGGAACTCTCTCCTCGCCGGCCTTCCCGGCACCTCCCTCCACAAGCTGCAGGTCATTCAGAACTCTGCAGCTCGTGTACTGTCCCGCACCAGGCTTCGGGACCACATCACTCCCACCCTCGCTCGCCTCCACTGGCTCCCCATCCCCCAGAGGATTGATTTCAAGATCCTCATCCTCACCTACAAGGCCATTCACGGCCTTGCTCCCTCCTACCTCTCCAACCTACTATCCCCCTACCTACCTGCCCGTACCCTCCGTTCCTCTGGCTCCGGTCTGCTCCATGTCCCCCGCCCCAACCGCCCTACTATCGGTGGTCGGGCCTTCAGCCTCTCAGCCCCGAGGCTCTGGAACTCCATCCCCCAGTGCCTTCGCCTTGCTTCCTCCCTTTCCTCCTTCAAGGCCGGTCTCAAAACCTTTCTCTTTGACCGTGCCTTCAGCTCCCCTCTCGACTCTCTTCCTCCTCCTCGCTCCCTCCCTTCCCTCCCCTCACCCTGACCATTTCCCCCCTCCTCTCTCCCTCCCTTCCCTCCCCTCACCCTGACCATTTCCCTCCTGCTCGGGTCATGACCCAACTGTGCAGCGCCTTGGGACGTCCTCCTGACGTGAAAGGCGCTCTATAAATGGAATCTTGTTGTTGTTGTTGTTGTTGTTCAGAGGATCCAGTTCAAGATCCTGGTCCTCATCTACAAAGTCCTCCACGGCCTCGCCCCACCCTACCTCTGCGATCTCCTAACCCCCTACCAACCCGCCCGTTCTCCCCCCTCAGCCAGCTCTGACTGCTCCACGTCCCCCGACCCACCCGCCCCACCATTGGCGGGAGAGCCTTCAGCCACTCTGTCCCCAACCTCTGGAATTCCATCCCCCAATCACTCCACCTCGCTCCCTCAGCCTCCTTCAAGTCCCGTTTCAAGACCCTCTCTTCGACCATGCCATCGGCCACCCCCCCCGACCCCAGCTTGGGTCTGAAATGGTGTACACTGTCCAACGCCTTGGGATGTCCTCCCGACATGAAATGCACCATACAAATGTAATCTTGTTGTTGTATAATTCTGTGAATTGGTTGCAGCGATTCGCCCACAAATATACAGTCAATTCACTATACAGTATATTCTGTGAAGCTTTCAGACATCTCGAAGACTTGATAATAATAATAATAATCCTTGCATTTGATATAGCGCTTTTCACATCGGGAGGACGTCCCAAAGTGCTTCACAGAACACACTGTAAAGTGAATTGACTGTATATTTGTGGGCGAACGCGGCAGCCAATTGCACACAGCAATGTCCCACAAACAGTCGTAGATTGAAAATGACCAATTTATTATTGTTTTGGTTTTGGAGGGATTATTATTAGGCTCTGTGTGGAGTAAGGAAACTTGCCTGAGGTTTCGCCCTCTGCCTGGAATTGAACTCAGGTCTCTCGCTTATAAAGCGAGTGCTCTAACCACTGAGCTACAGGACTCCACAATAAGGCACTATATCAAATATAAGGATTATTATTATTAAACACAGCAGTCATTTGTGCACAGCAAGGCTCCACAAATAGTCATAAGATGATTAACCAATTTATCTACAACAATAACTACCACCTGCACTAGCAATAGCGCCCTTCACACAAGATAGTATTTCAGAGCGCTGAGCAGTGGTGGAGCCTAACTCCGAGTCAGAGGAGGGTGGGGAGTGACCATAATCATGGTCGAAAAGGAAGGTTTTCAGGCGGGATTTGAAAAAGGGGAGCGAGCAGGCAAGGCAGAGGGATTGAGGGAAAGTGTTCCAGAGTTTTGGGGCGTAGTGGCTGAAAGCGCGACCTCCAATGGTGGAGCAGAATCTGCAAGGGACAAGCAGTCGAGCAGAGGCGCTGGGTGGTGGATTGGGGAGGTGCCAGGGAGTGGATTTAAAGCATTATTGGCCAGGATACCGGGGGGAAACTCTCCTGTCTCTTTTCTCCATTGTAAGTGCTGTGTAAAGTCTGTTTGAATAGACAAGAGGGTTTGAAAGAGGGTTCCCCCAGCATTGCACTGACCGAGAAGCAAAAGGGCTCCTGAGCGTGCCAAACTCACACCTAAAAGCTCACCTGGAGCATCCAGCTCTTTAGCCTAATGGAGAATAATTAAATAATAATAATCCATGCATTTGTTATAGCGCCTTATTACGTCTTCGAGACGTCTCAAAATGCTTCACAGAATATACTGTAAAGTGAATTGATTATATTGTGCGAAATGATTCAAAGTTGTGGCGGGCTTCATTGCAACAAAACGCATGGCTTTCATGTGTGAAGTGAGTTATTTATCAATCCATTTCCTGTAGTTTGCAAAATTTACTGACCAACAATAACCATCTTTCTCTTTTTTATAATAAGATTGGATTTCATCTGCCTTGTGAGTGCACCTTGGATTGTCTGGCGTGGAATCCCTGTACTAAACACTGCGACTCTGGTTGTCGCCCAGTGGTTTTGGATTACAGATTACTAGCTGTTGTGGAGGACTGATTCGGACAGGATGACGTCAGAGCTGGAGAGCAGCCTGACGTCCATGGACTGGCTGCCGCAGCTAACTATGAGAGCGGCCATCCAGAAAGCGGACGCTGCCCAGAGTGTGGCCGCTGGTGGTGGGGTGGCTAAGAAAAACTCTCTTCTGGACCCTAACACCACACTGGATCAGGACACACAGAACAAAGATGGCAAACCACCGTACAGTTATGCTAGTCTCATTACCTTCGCTATCAACAGCTCCCCGAAGAAGAAAATGACACTCAGTGAGATATACCAGTGGATTTGTGATAACTTCCCATACTACAGAGAAGCTGGCAGCGGTTGGAAGGTGAGTCACCAGGAGCAAAGCTAGCCAGCCAGGGATTCTCTCGTCCACTGGAAAGTCTTGCAGTTTGACTTTATTAGAGAGTAGTAGTGATTGAATTTGCAGTTCATTCATGTCTGACCTGGTGGTGCACTCGGAAGGAGCGGAAAATGTGACATGCAATGTGATAAATTACTAAAAATATGCTTAGAAGCCTAGGGATGCCATACAGCACCCCCACCCCTGCACTTCAGCACCACTTGAAGGTGTCTCAAAAAATTCTAATAGTCAAGATTTTTGTTATTGTAAAGTGGCACCAAAAGTCTGGGCTTCCGAGGCCACTGACTGGTAAAAACCAGGATGGTGACGGTCTGAACTGTTGAGCCTCAGCCCCTACTCAAAGGGCTGTGTTGAAGTGGGGGTGCTTGGGCATCACTATTCACTGCTTTCAATCACATTTTGATCTGTCATAATTATCACCAGTTTTGATTACAGCACCATATGCTGCATTTTTCTCTTCTATATTAGTGTAAATAAAAGGACCACTACCATACATCAATTGCTGTAAGATTTGGTGTAGTGCTACCCGGCGTGTGAAGGGTGCCATATAAACCAAGTTATTGTTGTTGAAGTTGTTATTGTATTGGTGGCATTCGTGACTTTTACAGGCTCCGACACTCTTAAGTTTTCTGAGACGCCGTCCAGAGTAAAGAATACTATAATAATAAAAATACAAGTTGTTGTTGTTTTACGTCTGAGTGGAAACAGATCCCACCCCCATATTTGCAGGTCACTAAAATAAATCATGAAGTTCCAACTTCTGCCCTGGATTTTACAGTAGCTGTCTGTATCTGTTCAGTTGAGAAAAGCAAAGATGCTACACACAAGGCACTTGTCAATTTGCTTTTATTGTGCAGAAACCCCCAGAAGTTCATTAAAATCATTTCTTATTCATTTAATTTGATATTCGATAAAGAATAACTTTATTGTTAAAAACAACAACAACAACAAGATTCCATTTATAAAGCGCCTTTCACGTCAGGAGGACGTCCCAAGGCGCTGCACAGTTGGGTCATGACCCGAGCAGGGGGGAAATGGTCAGGGTGAGGGGAGGGAAGGGAGGGAGCGAGGAGGGGGAAGAGAGTCGAGAGGGGAGCTGAAGGCACGGTCAAAGAGAAAGGTTTTGAGACCGGCCTTGAAGGAGGAAAGGGAGGAAGCGGCGAAGGCACTGGGGGATGGAGTTCCAGAGCCTGGGGGCTGAGAGGCTGAAGGCCCGACCACCGATGGTAGGGCGGTTGGGGCGGGGGACGTGGAGCAGACCGGAGCCAGAGGAACGGAGGGTACGGGCAGGTTGGTAGGGGGATAGTAGATTGGAGAGGTAGGAGGGAGCAAGGCCGTGAATGGCCTTGTAGGTGAGGATGAGGATCTTGAAATCAATCCTCTGGGGGATGGGGAGCCAGTGGAGGCGAGTGAGGGTGGGAGTGATGTGGTCCCGAAGCCTGGTGCGGGACAGTACACAAGCTGCAGAGTTCTGAATGACCTGCAGTGTGGAGGGAGGTGGCGGGAAGGCCGGCGAGGAGAGAGTTCCCATAGTCCAGCCTTGAGGTGACAAAGGCGTGGACCAGGGTTTCAGCAGCGTGAGGGGTGAGGTAGTGCCGTAGTCTGGCGATGTTCCGAAGGTGATGGAAGGCGGTGCCAGTTGTAGTGCGGATGTGAGGGAGAAAGGACAGCTCAGGGTCGAACAAAACGCCGAGGTTCCTGACTGGCTTTGAGGGGTGGAGAGTGCAGCCTTGGATGCTGATGGTGTCAGCGCCTGAGGTGCGGAGGCGCTGACGTGAGCCAATCAGGAGGGCCTCGGTTTTTCGCACGTTGAGCTGAAGAAAGTTGTCTCTCGTCCAGGACTTGATGTCGGACAGGCAGGCTGTCAGGACATCGGTGGTCGTGGAGTTGAGAGTAGAGGAGGAAAGGTAGAGTTGGGTGTCATCCGCATACATGTGGAAGTTAACTCCATGTCTGCGGATGATGTCACCGAGGGGGAGCATATAGAGGGTGAAGAGGAGGGGACCGAGGACAGAGCCCTGAGGGACACCACATGAGACAGTACGGGGGGTGGAGGAGAAGCCATTCGTTGAGACAAAGTGAAGACGGTGAGAAAGGTACGACCTAAACCATTCAAGGACAGTGCCTTGTAGGTTGAGGTGGGAGGACAAGCGGTGGAGTAGGATAGCGTGGTCGACCGTATCGAATGCTGCCGATAGGTCGAGGAGGACGAGGAGACAGAGGGAGCCCTGGTCACAGATGGTCAGGATATCATTGGTGACCTTGACCAGGGCAGTTTCTGTGCTATGGGCAGCACGGAAACCTGACCAAAGGGGTTCAAAAAGAGAATGGGTGGAAAGGAAAGAGCGCAGTTGGGAGGCGACAACTCTTTCCAAGACCTTGGAGAGAAAGGGGAGGTTGGAGATGGGCCGGTAGCTTGATAAAAAGTAACAAGTCAGAAAATGGGCCAATGATGTGATAACTATTACAGAGGTAATCAGGAACGTTTGGAATTGGCTCTTGAGAATGAGCATTTTGTGTTTCCTTCACCAGATAGTTTGAACTTTAAATCAGTCTTAACGGCTGGGATCAAAATCAAATTCACTCACGATATTGAAATAAAAAAGCAACAATTTGATTAGGCTCAGGGAGAGATCCTAAGATTGGTGGGGTATTCCTTCCTGGACCTCAAGGCAACTAATTTCTGTCCTCCTCACACCTTGCTTTCCCCATCCCTTTAATTTTTTTGTCCTAATAAAGGGAGTGATTTTTCCGCTTGCTGAATTTGCTCTGAAGCTGAGATAAGAATATCAGAAATGCTAGACGAAAAAAGACCAAGGTCCAACTAGTTTGCCTTTCACCTTCCTGGTGGGCGCATGCACATATGTCCCAAACTACTTATGTACTATATTCCATAATGTTACTGTTCCCATCTGATGGGTTCCTTTAACAAACTGATCAAAGCAAGTGTGCTCAAGGGCATGAAAGCAACTTGTTGCAAAGGCTCTGTTGGTGTTTCCCCTTTAAGTAGGGCTGTCTGTTGGGTTTATGGAAACAGTGAAAGCTACAGTGACCTGGAGCAAAGGTCCCATCAAACCATAGCTGAAACAGTGAAGACGATTTGTGCTCTGTCGACCATTGAATGGGTTGTGTCAGCTTGGCTCACTTGGCAGCGCTCTCACCACTAGGCCAGAAGATGTCAGTAAAGCCCCTTATTTTAAATTTGACTTGAGCAGAGACTCAAGAGGAACTTTTTTTGGTGGAACAGAGAAGGTTGAGGTGAGAACTGATGGGAGGTCTTTAAAAGGATGAGGGGTTTTGGTAAGATAGGGAGAAATTATTTCTACTGAGTGTCAGATAGTTAGCAAGGGAGAGATTAGGAAGACATTTTCTTTGTGCACACACCCACACATACAGAGTTGTTAAGATGTGGAGTTCTCTAAGGTGTGGTTGTCGAGGCCCAGGATCCATATCAATAAAAAATACAATACAAAATTACGTATGTATAGCACCTTTCACGTCGGGAGGATGTCCCAAGGTACTGGACAGTCAGGGATTTGGACTTGAGCAAGGGGGCAGATAAATGGGGCTGAACGGATCTCTTTCAAAGGACAGAACAGGTCTTTGATCTTCTAAAAAGCTGTGCTTAGGCAAACAATAATGGACTATTTACACTGGTCAGTGAGTCAGTAATGAGAAATCTGAAAGATAATGACAAAAGGAATCAACGGGAGGTTAGAAAACATCTTTACATGTTTTGGTGGTTGGAATGTGGAGTTCTCTGTTATAAACCTGCATTGAAGTAGATTTATAGATTCTTTTCATCTGGTAGACATAGGTGCTTAAAAAGAGAACTGTTAAAAGTGTGGGGAGCGAGGAGGAGGGACTAAACTGAGTGGTTCCTGTGAAGAATTCAACCTGCACAGACTGGATGAGTCGAGTCGCCTGTTTCTATGCTTGAACATTCTCTCATTCTAAAGGTCTGGCCTCTTTGTTGGTTGAGTCATGAAAGAAATATTTAGCTGATAGAAAGTAACGTAACGAAAGGCAGGTACTTTAACTACCCATATTGTACAAAGATTCAGTGGGTTTTCCCAGTAGCAAGCCTTGAACTTTTGTGGTCACGTTGTGTGGGGAAGAATAATGGATAAAAATACATTGTTGTTATCTTAAAACTGGTTTTGCATCAAAATGAGTCTTCGCCATGACAGAACGCTTCATTCATGCCAAGTTTATACTAATTTATTTACTGATTTATATAAAGATCTCAGGAGACCATGGGAAATGTCAAGGGAGCTTTTCTTTGTACAATTGGTAATTCACTTCATTGTTGTTTGTAGAATATATTATTATAATTCCAGAGACTTATTAGGCTGGCTTGGGAACCCAGACTTCTGGTATCTAACCAGCTAAAACCACATATTTTACCATTGGGATTTACATGGGTCTTTATCCCATGTCTGTGGATGATATCCCAAGAGGGAGCAATAATGAAAAGAAGAGCACCAAGGATGGAGCCTTGTGGTACACCTCAGGTGACTGAATGGGGACGGGAGGAAAAAACGTTTACAGAGATGAAGTGATGGCTGTTGGTTAATGGTTGAACCAGGCGAGTGTGGTCTCACTGAGGAAGATGAGGGAGGAGGATGGCGTGATTGACTGTTAAATGTAGCTGAGAATTCCAAGACAAGGAGGCAGAGGGAGCCCTGGTCACAGAGAGAGGACGTTGTTTGTGACTTTGACGGCGCTTTGTTTGTCCTGGTGGCAGGGGGGATCCCAGACTGGAGGGGCTTGAGAAGGGAGTGGAGGTGTGAGAGAAGTTGATTTGAAACAACACATTCCAGAAGTGTGGCAAAGAAATGGGCTGGTAGTTTGTCAGGTTAGAGAAATTAGTTTTTGTAGTTTTTGTGAGGAGGGGAGTGATGACAGCAGGTTTGAGAGGGAGTGAGACGGAGCCTGAGCAGAGAAACTGGTTGACTGAGTCTGCTACCAGAGGGCAGAGGAGGGAGAGTTGAGTTACCAGCAGCTGGGTGGGGATAGGAGGCGAGGGAGCAGTTGGTGGGCTTCATTTTGGTGATGATGACTGAGAGGCAGGAAGGAGAGATGTGGGATGAGGGCAGTGGTAGGAGCTGTGGCAGAAGGAGTGGGGATGTAGAAGGCAGGGACATCCAGGACCTCATCGCACTTTGCATTGGATGTAAGGATTGAGGATGCATGAAAGGGGTCGTGACTTTGGGGTTATTTTTGGCCTCCACAATGCATGAAAGAAAGGTGCTGTGCAAGATGGTAGTGATGATGTGCCCAAATGCCAGCCAACTAGTCATACTAAAGAATGACTCAGAATACTAAATAGATTATTTGCATTTGCTTGTAATGATCCCTGGTAACTTTGGTCTTTTTGTGCTTTCTTACAGAATTCCATTCGACACAATTTATCGTTAAACAAATGTTTCCTGAAAGTGCCTCGGTCAAAGGATGACCCGGGCAAGGTATGTTTCCAACTGGTTCCTCAGGCTGCGTGTGCACTTGTGTATCAGTACTGCATTGATAGGACAGAAGATGTGGTTCAAACATGCCCTTACCAACAGGTTTGGGGTTGACTCCCTGCCTTCCCGACTTAAGGGCAGTGGTTACAGTGCCCACAAAATGTACAGTCATTTACAGTATACTTTACAGTATATTCTGTGAAGCGCTTTGAGATGTCTCGAATGCATGATAAGGCGCTATATTACATGCAAGGATTATTATAATGATTGCAGGGCTTCAGTTTCTATAAATCTGCCTTTCTAAATGATCCTGAGGCCTTCATTGTCCAAATTCAATTCAGTCTCAAACTTGTCACAAAGGACGTTTTAACCCCATCGTCTATTAAATCTTTAAGGTGTTTGTTATTCAATGGACATTAATTATCAGAAACTGTTAATTAAGAATTAGCAATGTTCCAGGATGCTGCATTTCTTAGGTTCCCCCCCCCCACCACCAGTACAATAATATGCTGGTGGGAGACCATCTTGTGAAAAATTGCAGCAATTTTTCTTTGTGTTATGCCTGGTTTGAACGTTGCTGTACCTATAGTTTGGATGTTCAGTGCCGCCTTCCCTCCTCGGTCAGGGAAACCCAACGTTTTTCCCCGTTCATTATATACTCATTTCAATCTAAATTCACTCTAAAAATTTGAATCAATTTCAACATACCCGATTGGTACATTTATATTGCAGAGCTGGTTTGTGGAAATATTTGTACAAAGCTGGCACAAGTCCTGGGTTCTGCAGAAACCACCCGCGTTATACTGTGGGGTGGATTCACAGCAGCTGGAACATTCAAGACATCTATACATGTGCAAACTTGCAGTCACAATTCATGGCCGTGAAGTTGATTACTACTATGTTCAGTCTGGCAAGTGCTTTGATGACCCACAATGGTTGAACGGACAGAACCTGCTGAAAAATGGGACCACTTCCAACATTGGCTTGCCCTAGGGTTTTGCTGGCTCTGATGGCACACAGGAACTGTCTCTTGACAGTCCGCATGGCTCCAGAGACAACTTTGCTGCCTTGTTTACTGATACCTAACATGTTTGGGGGAGGCACTGTATCTCCTGTGTGTGGTGCAGCAGTAACTATTGCTCTCACACCATTCTTTAGCAGCACATTGAGGCACAGATACTGAGTACTGATGACACTGCAGCACCCATCAGCAGGGATCAGGAGGCGCTGTATAAATGTAAATTAGTATTGCATTGCCACATTTTGAGCCTCCATTTACACATCCTGCAGGTATCCGGAGGTAACTTTGGTAACTCATTGTCTGCGCATGTATAAATGTCTCAATACTGGCTTGGAAGTAGTGAGATGGTGTCCCGTGTGACCTGCCGTTAGATAACTCTGCTATCCGTGCTGTACAATCTGTGTAAAATCAATGTATGTAAATCTGTGTAAACCCAATAATGGTATTCAGAGACTAGGAGATGTGCCTGACAAATGGCTTTGCTCCCAACATTTTTCATAACTCCACTTTTGTTATTTAGCAAGCGGAGATTGAGAAATAAAATTCTCATGGTGGTTTGTGCATGTGCGAAGGTCTGACAGCATCACAATACTTATACAGTAATATTGAGCAGAACATTGCTTGATCGCTTGTTTTAATTGATTTTTGGCCAAGGAATCTGATCGTCTGTATGTGACAACCCCGGGATTGTAGAGACTTGGAGTCCGGAAGCAGATTTTACAATGTGAGCTACCTCAGGGGGCAAATGAAATGGTAAAAGACGTATTAGTTTTAAATGGCTGAGGTCAATGTGAAAGAAGCTTTTTGTGAAAATGAAGACCTCTTAAACTAAGCCATGGAAACATACTTCGTTTAGATATAAATCAATTGGATTAGAGGTTGTTTCAAGTATTAACTGGAGAGTTTATTTTCAGAGCCTTTTAGTGCATGGCTTTCATTCACTGTCATGACTTTGGGCAAAATTGTTGATGTGTTGTGACTTGCCTTTGAGCCAAATTTAGGATTTTGAAATCAAAGGTTTTAATCCTTTCTGATTGCTCAACACTTGGAAAGAATGAGAAAGATGCTCAATTCTGTTGGCCCACTGTAAGGTGATGCTGGTATTGGGAGGGAGGCTGGTGCTCTTTACATGGGCGTTTGATCTAGCTTCATGCTACCAGTGTTGACAGGCACACCTCTTGAGTTGTCCTCTTAACAGGTCTGGCATGTCTTGCTGGAGCCCACACCCTTTTGCTGTGTGTTGTTTCTTTCCTTGCTGTAGTTTAAATTTGTTTTGTGCGCAATTCCTTTTGGAGCATTCCTGAGACTTCTGGAGAGAAGAGCAGGAGCTGAGTTGCTAGGTCCCCTCCCGACATTGAGAATAATTCAGGAGGCGATAAAGGTTAATATTTGATACAGCTCCTTATTGCACCAAAATGTTTTACAGTGGATTGCATTAAATATAATTTCTATTGTAATACAGGTACCTTGCTATGCACTAGGAACTGAAAATGCGGTCAAAGAGTTAGGTCTTGATGTGCCTTGAAAAAGGGGAGAGGAGGAGCGAGTCAGAGGGACTCTGGGATGGACCTCCAGAGAGCGGGGGCAATATTGTGATGGTGGGGCAGATGGGGTGGTGGGGACATGAAGCAAGCCGGTGTTTGCTGGGCAAAGGGAATGACCGGGTCGGGAGGTCGCAGCGGTGGGTCAAGGTGGAGATTGAAGCATGTTGAGGAGTTTGCCACTGGGGAAAGAGGAAGCTTTTTGATCGATCAATGAAGATCAGCCATTCTGCGGTGTGAGAGAACCTTGCACCAAGTGACTGCACCATTTAATAATCTTTGAATTTGATATCGCGCCTTATCACATCATTAACCCCTCATGAAGGATGTTTTATAAATGCAACTTGTTGTCATTAACATCTCAAAGCACTTCCAAGGATATACCGTAAAGTGGTGTGACATTGCGTGGGCATTTGCCTATCAAAAGTCACTAACAACATTAATTACCACAAGCTGATTAAAACACTTTGACGAAAAACACTATCAGAGTGCAAGTTCTTTCCTATTTCTTTCTATCTTCTTGTTCCAAGAGAGGTTCTTACATTGAAGGCAGAGTTCTCAGATCCGAGAAATAGGAGATGCTGTGATTTTTTTTAAAAATGTGCTTAGAAGCAAAGTAATAATTCAGTGCTACAGTCATTAATTTAATAATAATAATAATCCTTGCATTTGATATAGCGCTTTTCATGTCTTCTCGACGTCTCAAAGCGTTTTACAGAATATGCTGTAAAGTGAATTGACTGTAATGTTTGAGGGCGAAACGCAGCAGCCAATTGCACGCAGCAGCGTCCCACAAACAGTCGTGGATTGAAAATGACCAATTATTGTTTTGTGTTGAGGGATTATTGTTAGGTGTGTGGAGTAAGGAAACTTGCCCAAGGTTTCGTCCTGTCTGGAATTGAACACTTGCAAGGCGAGTGCTCTAACCACTGAGTTGTAGGACTCCACAATTTGGGGCAGAGTAGCACTGTGCTAGGAACCTGCCTGATCTTCAGAACCGACTGGCAGACGATTCTTTATCTTGTTTGTTATCTTACTGATGGAGCCCTTTCGTAAACTAGTTCTGTTTAAAGATGGTTCAGGTGTTTAATTATTAGCTTTGGGACGTCCTCCCGACGTGAAAGGCGCTCTATAAATGGAATCTAGTTGTTGTTGTTGTAGCTTCAACACCTGTTGTGCTAATGCTATGAAGTTCCTGTTTATTCAGTAACTTCACTGTCAAAAAGGAATATTTTCTATTCTTTTCATGGCTGGAAGTGGGAACCATATTTTGGGTGGAGAGCAACTGAATCTGTACTAGTTTATGACTAAAAGATGGGAGCAGTTTAGCATTTAATAAAGATTTCATTCCATTAAATGAATGACCAATTTTACTGAGGGGGGTGGTTGCCAAGACACTTTCCTCATTAATGCTGTAATGTGTTCAGTTTACATACCACAAGCTGTCAGACTTTTTCACATGTGCAAAATCCTATTAGAGGTTTATTTTTGATGACTGGTTCCCTACCAGCAGTGGACCCATCAAAAAAGGCCTGGAGAAAGTCATCTAATAAATGGTTGTTTTATCCACGACCATGATTTCCTCTTTGAGTAGGGGAGAAGATTGTCCAAAAACATTTTTTTTTACTCCAGCTGTTAGTAGAACATCACATGTATTGAAAAATGTTTGCACAGTACCAGGTTGTGTTGCAGTGAGAACAATGATCTCTTTTATAGCAGTACAGATAGGATGCAAGAGCTTTATTGGCACAATGTTTGGCTTGTTCTATGCTATATATTTTGGTTCCTTCCTAATTTGTATTACTGTTTTTCAGGGTTCATACTGGGCCATTGACACAAACCCAAAGGAGGATACACTACCCACTCGGCCAAAGAAGAGGCCACGGTCCGGAGAAAGGGTAGGTCTGTGAAAGATGCTAAAATTGTGGATGGAAATGGAAACATTGGGATAGGATAGAAATGCTGGCTTGATGTTTTGAATGGGTTTCATGCATTTGTCACCTCAAGGCAGATTTCTCCACTCGGTTCCTCAATGGTCTCTCCAGCTCTTGAGCATCGATTCATAGAAATCTCTATGAATCTGGATTCTCTCTCAAGCCAGGAGCTCCAGTCTCCCCATCCTTTCCAGACTCCGCCAGCTCCCATTGCCTCAACACTTGTGCTCCTGCCCCTTCACAACTTTCACAATTTTCTCCAGCCCAACTGAGCTTGTTCCTTACTCCTTCCATCCTGCATTGATGGCTGACGTTGAACCATTATGCTCCTGGAATTCTCTCCCGAAATCCCTTCACCTTATTTACGTCTTCTCTCACTGCTTTTGAAGAAATCTGAAGAATGCATCTCTTTGATCGTGCATTTGGTTAACACTTGAGCTTCTCCACCTTTCCTCCCTACTTAGTGATTTGCTTATTTCTCCGTTTCCACCAAAAACAAAGTCCAAATGATACAAAACTCTGCCACCATATCCTGACACCTCCCAGGCTCCAGACACCCCAGCACTCCACCCCCCCAGCAAGTAGCAACAGCCAAATGAATTGTAAATTAATTTGGCTGCTAACAATGTGATTAAAAAAAATTTTAAAAGGCATTTTAAAGTAGCTATTAATTCCGAAATAATAATCCTGGATAAAGCTTTAAATGTGAACTTTCAACTCTACGAACTAGTCTTTTGTTGAAGATGCTGAGTGTGAATGTGAAGCATTCACCTTTCCTCTACTCCCAGCACCACGCCTTTTGCAGAAAAAGCAGCAAGTAAACGGTGGGACATGGTGATAGGTGCTCCCAAGGGAATTGATTAGAACATACAAGGAGCATCAGTTCCATTTGTTAATTTTTGTTGGTACCTCTGGGTCATGGCGGACAACTTCAGCATGGACACTGTCCTGAAAAACTGCGCTGAGAAGGGCTGAAGGGCCCTCTGGTCATGCTCATCCCACTTCAACAACAGCGAAGTCCCAGTCCAGGTCAAGCTTGTGGCATACAAGACCTAAGTACAAACAGCCCTCCTTTATGGATCTGAGGGATTTAGTGGAGAAGCTTCCTCGACATATTTACAAAGTCCAGGATCAAGCAGTGAGGTGGATCTGTGGCGAACACTGGAAGCGGCTACAGGGAGGGATGGCTCTGGCCTACCCTGACCTGTCACTAAGCACCCTGGAGGCAGAGGGGGCTTCACAGCAGCACGTGTATATGCCAAGTTCCCTCGCCTTAGGACCTGAATTGAGGAACCGGTGCTGAGTAAGCCTGGTATGCGGCATTGAACTTGGACCTCGGAGAACATCAGGGCGGCTAGAACATTACAAGCTTTACCGTAAAGATCCACCAACCACACTGAAGGCAGATTTCCGTCAGAAAGCTGATAAGGAAATTCTGAGATTTGGAGCGACAGCTGCTGGAAGGCGTTACCTAGAGTCCGAGTTTGTGGACACGCGTTCATACATCCAGCTCCTGGAATCCACCTTGTTTAGCCTTCAGAGAGCCAAAGAGCTGCTGCATAAACTCTGTCCCTCCAATTGGTGGAACCATTGCTCAAAGGGAAGGTACGTGTGCCCGAGCTGCAGACAGGAAGAGGGTGGCAATGCTCTCACCCGTTTCATGGTACCTACCATACCTGGTGAGGGCTCAAACCTACTTTTGTCGGTTGTCAAACGACCAACTTGTACCTATCCTCCTAGGAGAGGAGGTAAGTGGGGTCTTCTTGGAGCTGAACTGCCGTGATTGTCAGAATCAAGCCAGTCCTCTGTGGTAGTCTCAGTATTCCGGTTCCTGAGCCAGGTGGATCCGCAGTATTCAAAGGCACTGCTGATGACTGCACAGTCAGCTTGGGGCAGGTAGTCAACCCAATCAGTTTCTGTTAACTCTGCAAGCAGGAGCTGATTAACGGGTAGGGTGGTCCTAGCTGGACAAGTAGCGGAAAAGTTTGCCAGACACTGATATCAATGGCAAGCTATGCGGTTTTAGCTGGTTAGACTCCAGCTGTACGTCAACACACATTCTGGAGTCCCCAAGCATTGGCTCTTGCCAACCTGCATCGAATACTTTCCTGAATTAGGTAAGCAGGATGTGTCCCTCCAGGGAAAAAACGCGCAATCCATTCCAACAATCTATCCCTGGAATTTCCATGTGTAGGTGGGATGCATGGAATTCTCAGATTGTTTTGGATACTGTTAAGCACGGTGATGGGTTTCCTCACGTGTCATAAAACCCGGCTGGCCAAAAAAAAACAGGAGGTCCATAGAGCCGAGACTGGACAGAAGCAGCAGGTTTCAGATTCCTGTCCCAGGAATCAGCAGCTATTCCTTGTGTTTGTCCATCTTCAGACCTTCCTCTTCATTGTTTCAGGAGAAAGGGGGAAATTTTGTGGAAATTTAATGTCCAGGAGATATACATAAAAGTCGTTTGTAATATCAGTGCAAATGGGAGTAAATGCAACTGATTCCTCAGTGTGTGCTGAAGGTTTCTCTGAAGTTGCTGAACAAGGGATGTTAGTATTCGAAGGTTATAATTAGTTGGTGCAATCATGTCACACTGACAATATACAAAAATAGTCAAAGAACAGTGCTCGGGAGCACGTCTCATCATCATGGAGGAGGGACCCTGGACAAGCTTCTCGGCTTAGGTTGAACCCATCTATAAACTTATAGACTGTAATTATAGACAATTATTATATATATTCGCTCATCTTTTCTTTTTATAAGCTCCAACTGATCTGAACCTCTGCCTTCTACATCCTTGCTCACACCAAAGTGAGCCTAGTGAGCTAGGCTCCACAAGGTTCCCAATGAATCAACTTCAAGATCCTCATTCTCGCCTACGTGGAGTCCTGTATCTCAATGGTTAGAGCACTCGCTTTGCAAGCGAGACACCTGTGTTCAGTTCCAGGCAGGGCGAAACCTTGGGCAAGTTTCCTTACTCCACACAGAGCCTAATAATAATCCCTCAAAAAAAACCTATAATAAATTGGTCATTTCAATCCATGACTGTTTGAGGGACATTGCTGTGCGCAATTGGCTGCTGCGTTTGCCCACAAATATACAGTCAATTCACTTTACAGTGTGTTCTGTGAAGCGCTTTGGGACGTCCTCCCGACGTGAAAAGCGCTGTATCAAATGCAAGGATTATTATTATTATTACACCCTAGCTCCTAGAAGTCCCTCCATCTACCTCTCTGCCACACTCCCTCTCTCATTGTACTTTTTAAATATCATGAATAAAACGTACCTCTTCGACCGCACCTGTGGTCTTCTTCCCTGCTCAGCGCCTGACCCCTTGTGAAGTGCACCAGCGCTCTCCTTTCCTAAGTGAAGGTGCTACATAATGCAAGTCTTTATCGTTGATTATGACAGCATGCAAATAGGCCATTCAGTGCAACGCGTCCATACTGGTGCTTATATTCTGCACAAGGCTTTTAGGAGGGACATCCTAATCCCCTCACCCATGCCCCTCTATTCCTGGTTTTAAATTATCTCTTATTTTAGTCTTTAAAATTCCTGAAAACTTTTCACATATATTGTTAAATTTGTTGCTTAGATATGTTCTATATGGAATCATAGAATCTTACAGCACAGAAGGAGACCATTTGGCCCATTGTGTTTGTACCAGCTCTTTGAAAGAGCTAGTCCCACTCCCCCGCTCTTACCCCATATCCCTGCAAATTTATCCTTTTTAAGTGAATTTATCCAATTCCCTTTTGAAACCTACTATTGAATCTGCTTCCACCACCCTTTCAGGCAATGTGTTCCAGATGGTAACAACTCTCTGGGTAAAAAAAAGTCTCCTCATCTCCCCTCTGGTTCTGTTACTAACAGGTTACTAACCTGTCCGCCAAAGGAAACAGTTTCTCCTTATCTACTCTTATCAAAACCCCTCATAATATCGAATACCTCTAATAAATCTCCACTCAACCTTCTCTGTTCTAAGAAGAATAATACCAAATAATAATGTGTTACTAAAATAATAATCCTTAAATTTAATATAGTGCCCATTTCATGTCTTCATATAACCCAGCCACAAGATTTGAATGTCAATGAAAGCAATAATTCTCATTCTAGAATTTCAAAAGGCAAAAAGTTTAATTTTAATAGATTTATCACATCTACTTATATGGCTTCATAAATTGATCTTTAGCTTATAATAAAATTTAACATAGTAGATGGTTGTCTATTGCTCTGTATTGATTATTAGCAGACATTAATGTGTCTCTTTGCTTCTCTGCTTCCATATTCTAGGCCTCAACACCATACAGTCTGGATTCTGAACCTTTAGGAATGGACTCCATCATCTCTGGAAGTGCCTCTCCAACCCTGGCAATCAACACTGTGACTAACAAAGTAATATGTTTTAATTTGATCTCTTGTTTGCTTCTTGTGGCTCTAGTTGAATGTTCAGTGTAGAAAGGGGAAGTTCTCTGCTGATCCACCCAGTGGGTTTATAAAATCCTTTTAAAAAGAATAATAAGCTAAAAATTCCACAATTTTTGAAGATCTTAATGAACTGGGTAGAAAATTACATGCAATTCTAAGGGAAAGTTTTAGGACTGAACATTTTTTATAAAAGGAAATATTTTCAAACCTTTTGTGATTATCTTAAATGCACCCTTTTTGTTGCTGAATTGCCAGGCAGTGGAAATAAATTTACTATTTACCCATCATAGTAATCGCTTCGGGACGCTACTCCGCATGAAGGTTGCTATATAAATGCAAGGTGTTGTTGTTATCATGACCTTCTGTGATCGTCAAGTCCCTTTAAGTCTGCCCTTAACCTTCTCAGCTCCAGTAAATGCCCAAGCTTCTCGAGTCTCTTGGTGAAACTACACTAGTTTCATTTACTTTTATATCCTCCCTTTCATTTCAGTAAAATTCTGAGTTAATGAGAATGTCAGTGCCCCTGGGTTAGACTATTGTTTAAGGTAAAATTTCTACTTTTCCATATATTGGACGTGTCTGTGTACGAGGATATGCTTTTCCTAAAGAGGCACAGAGACTTCATAGAATTATACAGCACAGAAGGAGGCCATTCAGCCCATCGTGTCTGTGCCGCTATTTGAAAAGAGCTTCCAATCAACCCCACTCCCAGCTCCCTCCCCATAGCCCTGATCAACTCCACTCCCACCGCGCTCTCCCCATAGCCCTGACCAACCCCACTCCCACCGCGCTCTCCCCATTGCCCTGATCAACCCCACTCCCCCGCTCTCTCCCCATAGCCCTGCAAACTTGTCCTCTCCAAATAAATAGAATCTTTATTGCCAGATAGAGGAAGTTTTTACACTAAGTGTAGGTTAAATTCTCAAATTGACGAGCTCCTGTTTGGTTGGCAGGTAACACTATACAACACGGATCAGGACGGCAGTGATAGTCCTCGCAGCAGCCTTAACAACAGCCTGTCTGACACGAGCCTTGCCTCTGTCACCCTGAACAGTGTTGGTTCCGTCCACAACTACGCACAGGTCAGTTCACGATTCAGAGAAAATGTCTTGTGGAAGCGATTTGCAGGTTTATTGGTGTTGTGTACTCACAGCTGGGAATGTTTCTTTAACTCACTCAGTATTGCTATTTACATCCCCCTGCTTACTGCAAGGCTACATTTCTGATGTACCTCGTTTGAAATTTAGGAGGGAGGTATGATGAGATTGGCAGTCTTTTTTGGCCTTTATTTAGCAAGCGATTTGGTCATTGTTTAACTTTTAAAATTATTTTTACACCACTCTTGCAGTGCAAATTACCCGTGGCTCTAATCAAGATCTCTCAGTTGGCCCGTGTGCTATAAATGAAACAATGTTTTTGCAGAGCGGTTAATCATTTGTAATGTTTGTATTACCAAGGCCAGTGCCTTGCGACATCCTCCCAACGTGAAAGGTGCTAGACAAATGTAATTTCACGACGACCACTGCATTCAAATTTAAGCTTGTGTAGCATTTTAGAAAATTTTAACATTGAGTCCAGTCTATAAGCTGGTTTCCCACAATTGCTAAAATAAACCATTTCCGCATTAAGACTTATTTTTGGTCAGCTAGGGTATCTGACACATGAGGAAACCCATCACCATGCTTAATGGTGTCTAATCCAGACTGAGTGATCCACATATGCACTCGACACATGGAAATTTCACAGTGTTGGAATTGAGTTCATGAAAAATTTATAAAATTTTGCCCAATTTTCAATTTTAAGACCACAGTCTTCAGTCTAAAATCATCATGAATTTCGGGCCTCTGACTGAGGTTGGTGTAGAATTTCGAGTTAACTTCTCTATTCTGTATGCGGTTGCGATGATGATTTTTGTCCATATTGGTAAATTTTGGAATGATGTTGCTTCTGAATCTCTGAGCGAGAGAATGTGTTTGTTTCACCCACAAAATACACAATCACTACACTTTACAGTGTATCCTGTGAAGCGCTTTGAGACGTCTCAAAGATGTGATAAGGGGCTATATCAAATGCAAGGATTATATTATTATTATTATTATTACAGGTAACGAACCGGGCTGATTCGGTCTCCCAGACTCTAACACCTCAGCAGCAGCAGCAACAGCAGTACAACATGCCTGAGAGAGACAATAAACCTCCCTTCTCAGAGTATAACTTTGAAGATCTGAGTGCCTCCTTCCGTAGCCTTTACAAATCGGTCTTTGAGCAGTCTCTGAGTCAGCAGGGTGAGTGAAATAGACTGGGTGTTCTCCAAGTGTTTTTTTTTCTAAGCACTTGATCTGGAGTAACTTGAGTGGGTCCAGTATACTTTTTAAATAAACATGAAATGTTAACAAATCTAAAGACCAAAGCAATCTGGTCAGTAACTCCATGGCTGGCTTTGTATTTTTCAGGGATTGATAATTATTTTAGGCGTTTTTCACTCTTCCCCAGAAAGCACAGGAGAGGAGGGGGCTTCAAGGTAGGAAACAAGCCAGAAATTTTGGGTGCGGGGCAGGGGGTAGACTGTAGTGGCAGAAGCTCATTCACAATATTAGCATGGATAGAGTGAGGAAGGGAGGAAGTCTAAGGTTACTAACCAGTGAGTATTATTAGGGCATGGCAGTATAGACACCCCTTGAATGTTGGGAGGCGCTATACAAATGTAAGTTGTTTTTGTTTGACACCTGAACTAACTGGTTTGCATGTCAATATATCAGTATTCGTATTTCATTCTTTTCAGGAATGATTAACCTGTCTTCTGAAGCGTCGCAACCAACCCACACGTCCTGTTCCTACCAGCACTCACCCAGCAGCACTGTCAGCACCCACCCCCACAGCGGCCAAAATAGTCTGACCAATAGCCATGCCAGCAGCCTGGGAGGGGGAGGAGGGACGCAAGTGCAACTGGTGCCCCATCAGCTCCACATCCAGCACGCCCATCACCAGCACCATCAACACCAACACCCACAACACCAGCCAAACCAGCAGCACCAACAACATCACCAGCATCACCATCAACATCAACAGCAGCACATGGCCTGTAATATTGGTGAGTAAGATTCACTCTCTACACCAAGGCTTTAGTCTATTGAGTAAGTAGGACCTTCACCTCTGTGGCTTAGTGATTAGAGCACTCGCCCCACAAGTGAGAGACCTGGTTTTGATTCCCGGACAGGGCAAAAAATTAGGCAAGTGTCTACTCCACACACCTTTGTTTATCTAGCAGTAAGTAGGAACCCGGTTGTTAGTCGATTGGCGGATTGCTTTCCGGGGATAATAATCCCTTTTATATATAAAAAAAATTTGGTCACTCAATACACGACTGTTGGTGGGACACTGCTGTGAGCAATTGTCTGCCGCGTTTCGCCCCCAAAAATCCACAGTCAATTCACTTTACGGTATATTATTTGAAGCTCTTTGAGACGTCTCAAACCCGTGATAAGGCGCTGTATCTATCAAATGCAAGGATAATTATATTATACCTCTGGGACAGAAGCTACTGGATTCAAGCCCTGCAGGACCTAAGTTGAAGTCACTTTTGGCTACCCCCCACTCCCTCCCAGTAGAATAGAAGGGGAGCATTATGTTGTCAGAGGTGTCCTTCAAATGAGAGGTTAAAATTGATGTCTGCTCTATCTCTTCAGATGAATATTTAGATCCTGTGGTGCTATTGCAGAAGAGAAGGGAGTTTGCCCAGTGTTCTGGCCACAACCATCTAAATTAATTAACCATATTAAATGTAGATATTGCTGTTGTCACTCACCTCATGGCTATTTGTGGGAATTTGCTACTGCAAAACAGCTGCTGTGTTTGTCTACAAAAGACGGTCACTAAATGGATTATTATCCCTGGAACGCGATCCGCCAATCAACTAACAACTAGGTTCCTATTTACTGCTAGGTAATCAGAGGCATGTGGAGCAAGGAAACTTGCCTAAGTTTTTGCCACGCCCAGGAATCGAACCTGGGTCCTCTTGCTTGTGACAAGAGCATGCTAACCACTCAGCTATGGGACTCCAGATGCTATCTGTTAGTAAAGGCCGTGCAGCTGGGAGGTAAGGAGAGGGATAGGGATGGGGTCAAGAGAGCTGGTGGTGGGCTTCATTTTGGACATGATGGAGATGAGCGAAGAGTGGGAGAGAAGGTTGAAGGTATGGAGGGAGGGATGGGTAGGGGCCTGAATGTGAGAGGAAGGTGGGGAGGGGGTTAGCGGTAGAAAGGGCAGAGTCAGCCTAGAGGATAATAATAATAATAATAATCCTTGCATTTGATATAGCACTTTTCACGTCGGGAGGTCGTTCCAAAGCGCTTCACAGAACACACTGTAAAGTGAATTGACTGTATATTTGTGGGCGAACGCGGCAGCCAATTGCGCACAGCAATGTCCCATAAACAGTCATGGATTGAAAATGACTAATTTATTATTGGTTTTGGTTTTGGAGGGATTATTATGAGGTATGTGGAGTAAGGAAACTTGCCCCAGGTTTCGCCCTCTGCCTGGAATTGAACTCAGGTCTCTCAGGATCCCCTCAGCTTTGGACTCAAGTCCAGCATCTCCTCGCAATTGCAGGAGAGGAAGGGCGAAGGGTGAGAGGGCGGGTGGAGGAGCCGGTTTGTGGTAGAAAAGAGATCCTGGGTTGTCCTTGGGCTCGAAGATTATCTTGGAGTAGAAGGTCAATTTAGCGGAGGCGAGGGCGTAGCGGTTGATTTTGTTGTGGTCCAGCCAGACACGCCGATGGACTATTAAATTGGATTTGAGCTGGGTGTATTCGGCAGCCTGCACCTATGTCTTGAGGGAATGGAGATGATTGTTCAGGAGGTCATTGCCAGGCAAAGGGTGAAAGCGTATTTTTGTAGTCTTATCCTCGTCCGCTGTGATCTCGGTGGGGTATCTGCTAAAAAAGAAAAATTTCAGATGAATTCCTTGTGGTCATTTTTCACTTCAATATGCTTTCCAAATATATAGTTGTTAAACTTTTCCCACCTGAATGCTTATCGCCAAACCTTCTATTCCTATCTGAGCATAGTCTTGCTTGGTTGCAGATAAAATTCTCTACGTAAATGCCATTGATGCTCCTCTTTGTCCTGCTTTCAAACTGTTTTGACTGGCATGCACGGATATGATCACTGATTTCTTTAAGTCATCAAATTGTCGTCTCTGATGTCTTGGACAAGGCTTGTTTTATCCGTTCAAATGCCTTTATTGTGCTTCCTCCCACTCAAACTCGTTAGTTTCTTTCATCACATATTTCAGTGGCTCTGCCAGTGTTGCTAACTTCGATATAAATTTTGCCAACCAATTTCACCATCCCAATATTCTCTTAATTCCTTTCTTTTCTGTGGGTGGCAGTATTTGCATTATGGTTCTTACCTCGTCTGGATCAATATTCAGACCTTTACTTGTTAATATATGTTCCAGATTCTCTTGTCCTTCCTATTTTGCGTTTCTTCCGGTTCAGTTTTGCATTCTCATCTCTGCATTTTTTAAGAGCCTCTCTTAAATATACAGTCAATTCACTTTACAGTATATTTTCTGAAGCACTTTGACGTCTCAAAGACGCTATAAAGCTCTATATCAAATCCAAGGATTATTATTTTTTATTATTAATCTATTATGTTCTTTGCTGTTCTTCCCAAATATCAAAATGTCATCAATAACAACCTCCGTGGTTTCCAATAACTGTGCTGCCTGCTTTTGAAAAATTCCTTAAATGACACATCCCAAACGGCACATGGTTAAACAATACTGGTCTAGTGGTGTATTGAATGTGGTTAGCTCTGCACACCTATGTATAAGTTACTTGCCAGTATCCTGTGGAACATCCAGTGTGCTGAAAACTTTGGGCTCTTTTAGATAATGAAGTGCTCTTTCAGCATTGCGCTGGAGTGTCAGCCCAGATAGTGAGCTCAAAGTCCCCAATGTGGGTCTTGAACCCACAACCTTTTGCTTTTGAGGGGAACGTCAGACCGATGTCTAGAAATTGCATAGAAGAGCTATGTTATTGACAGATTAGTGTATATCAGTATTGCATGTTTTAATTGCCTTTCACCTCTGCCTGATAAGTGACCAGCATTACATTGTTCTAACCCTCATCGTTGGTGATTCTGTGGCTGTTGCAGGCATTCCCTCTGACTGGTGCATGAATCTGGACACTCTGAAAGAGAGTTTCCGCATCGCTAGCAGTTTCAACTGGTCGGATGTGGATCTCTCCCAGTTCCAAGGTAGGTTTGTCAGCAATGTGGAGCTGTGTTCATTAGCCCGGCTGGTGACCGCAGCTCACTGAGGCCCAGGTTTCTGCTCAGTATAAACAGAAACGTAATGAAATCCTCTGAGATCCTTAACTGTTCGGAACGTTACATCTATCTGTCTGTCCATCGCTCTCTTTCTTGGTCATGCGCTCTCTCGGAGTCACACACATACTCTCTCTCTCTCTGTCACACTCTCTCTCTTCTCTGCTCATCGCTCTTTCGCGGTCACTCGCACTCTCTCTCGGTCACTCGCGCTCTCTCACTCTCGGTCACTCGCGCGCTCTCTCTCCCTCAGACACTCGCGCGCTCTCTCTCCCGGTCACGCGCGCGCGCTCTCTCCCGGTCACGCGCGCTCTCTCCCCCGGTCGCCCGCGCTCTCTCCCCCGGTCGCCCGCGCTCTCTCCCCCGGTCGCCCGCGCTCTCTCCCCCGGTCGCCCGCTCTCTCTCCCCCGGTCGCCCGCTCTCTCTCCCCCGGTCGCCCGCGCTCTCTCCCCGGTCGCCCGCGCTCTCGCCCCGGTCGCCCGCGCTCTCTCCCCCGGTCGCCCGCGCTCTCTCCCCCGGTCGCCCGCTCTCTCTCCCCCGGTCGCCCGCTCTCTCTCCCCCGGTCGCCCGCGCTCTCTCCCCCGGTCGCCCGCGCTCTCGCCCCCGGTCGCCCGCGCTCTCGCCCCCGGTCGCCCGCGCTCTCTCCCCCGGTCGCCCGCGCTCTCTCCCCCGGTCGCCCGCGCTCTCTCCCCCGGTCGCCCGCGCTCTCGCCCCCGGTCGCCCGCGCGCGCTCGCTCGCCCCCGGTCGCCCGCGCGCGCTCGCTCGCCCCCGGTCGCTCGCTCGCCCCGGTCGCCCGCGCTCGCTCGCTCGCCCCCGGTCGCCCGCGCTCGCTCGCTCGCCCCCGGTCGCCCGCGCTCGCTCGCTCGCCCCCGGTCGCCCGCGCGCGCTCGCTCGCCCCCGGTCGCCCGCGCTCGCTCGCTCGCCCCCGGTCGCTCGCTCGCCCCCGGTCGCCCGCGCGCGCTCGCTCGCTCGCCCCCGGTCGCCCGCGCTCGCTCGCCCCCGGTCGCCCGCGCGCGCTCGCTCGCCCCCAGTCGCCCGCGCGCGCTCGCTCGCCCCCAGTCGCCCGCGCGCGCTCGCCCCCGGTCTCGCCCCCGGTCGCCCGCGCGCTCTCCTGTGCTCCGGGACGCTACCCTGGGTGAAGGGCGCTATATAAATGCAAATTGTTGTTGGTTTCTCTCTCTTTCTGTGTGTCAGTCACACTCTCTTTCTCGGTCTTGCTTTCTCTCTGGGTCGCTTTCTTTCTCTGAATTTCTGTCTGTCTGGCTATTTAATTCATTCTCTGGCTGGCTGCTGGCTAGCTCTATGTCGGTCTCTGTAGGTCTGGCTGGATCTCAGACAGCTAAAGAGAGAGACTGAGACAGACGAAGGAAGAGAGCGATCTGTTGCAGTTGGATGTAAATTCTTTGATAGCAATTGTATTTACATTTTACATAACCCTAATATCCGAGCGGTTTGGGGTATTGTAAAGCTCTGTAGGCGACTGATCTGATGCAGTTAGAACTGTTTAATTCTTGTCTGACTCCAGATTTGAATTGTTGGGTTAATCTCTCTTTTTTGCCACACTGACCACACACTCACACCCACAGACCTACTAACCCCGATGCACACATAGTGAATTGGCTGATTGACTTCATGCTGAGTGCTGGCTGTGTGAAACTGCATTAGACAAGAGGGAAAAACCATGATTCTTTGGTTTCTTTTTTTTGCATTTTATTTAGCTAAAATCCTTATGTTTGTGTTGCTGTAGTTTATTTAACAACAAAGCCTATGTTGCTTGTGGACCCGTTAATCCTTTGGCCTTCTTTTCCGTGGATTCTCTCCTTAACGCTCTGTCATGCCTTTTATCCACAGGTCTGATGGAGAGTATGAGACAGGCGGATCTCAATAACTGGTCACTCGATCCTGTTCAGTTTGCGGACTTGTGCTCTTCCCTAAACCAGTTCTTCACACAAACTGGTCTGATCCAGTCACAAGGGAACATGCATCCCGTTTGTCACAGTACAATGCACACGCAGAAACCAAACCAGCACATCAGTACAGGTATAGACTCCAAAAATATAGAGCTAGTTGCAGATTTTCACGTATCAATAAGATGTTTTGAATGGGTGATGCTTTATTTGAAGCATGTGATTTTTTTTCGTATGGGCCATGGCAATTCAGTTAATTGCTTGGATTTCACCCCCAAAGCACTAGGAAAGCACTTCTTTTAATTTAATTTAATTTTTATTTATGTTTATTTTGCAAGGGCAGGGAAACAAACAGCCATCATTAACAAGCAGAAAGAGAGTCTCTGTTTTTAACCTTCAATGAATTTTCATTCATTGCTAACTAGATTTTTTTAAAAAATGTTTGTTGAACTGCAGATTCTGCAGGCAGATTGGGCTGGTTCCTGAATTAGCCGATCTGAAGCTTTGGATGGAGTGTGCCAGCGATCTGAACACACTGCAACAATTTGGAGCAAATTCTGTCTCTCCAAAAATGTGATGAATGAGCCCTAAACTAACAAGCTGTGTGTCATTGTGGGCCCCTGTTTGTAATTCACAGGTGAACAATGACATCAGACAAACTACTGTCACGTCAGAGCGCTGAAATTCCTAATGAATTGGCTTCCAATTTAAATTCTTAAATTAAATAATAATAATGCTTGTATTTGATACAGCGCCTTATCGCGTCTTTGAGACGCTTCACAGAATATATTGTAAAGTGAATTGACTGTATATTTTGTGAGCAAAAGGATAACTTGAGGCCTCAGAAGGTGGATGGATCAGTTGTTCACCTGGAGCTTTGTGACTCGGCTCAGTCAGCCTGATGGTTTCCTCACAACGCCTCTTTTTCCTAACCTACAATTCACCTTTTTGCAGCATTTTCCCTCTCCACATTTAGCAGCTTCTAATTCTATGTCTCTTTCAAAATTAACTGTTCCTTTTCCTTTCACAGCTTTCCCTGTGCTATGTTTACTAACGCTATGTTTTAATTCTTGGTTTCTCAGATTCCCCACAGTTGTTTTACGAGCTTTGCCTATTGTAAATTGCAAATTTTATTTGCCTTTTCACAGATCCTCTGTTCTACGTTAGGACCTCCTTTCTTTTCGTTACATTACACAGATCTCTGTTTACACACCACTGAGACTTAATTGCATTTGACAGCTCCTCTGCTTTCTATTTACAACTAATTGGTTTCCCTCACCATAACCCAGCTTGTTTTGTCCTCATCCAGTTACTCCTGTCTGCAAACCTCCTGTTGGTACCTGCTCTTAATTACTCTTTACTCTCCACTGAACATGATTACAAAGCTCGAGGTTAAGGCTGTTAAGCTGCTAGGCAGTGGAAGCAGTGAGAATCTGCCTGCCGACCTGTTGTAAAAACACAGAGTGACCTGTCAGCATTCTAGATTAAAACCAGCTAGTCGGTGCCTATTGCAGAGGGTGTGTGTATGTGTGTGTGGGGGGGCGTTTCCTGTGGGAGATGGTACTGTTGTGAATATCGGTACTAGAATGTGTTCCATGAGTCAAACCACAATTCATCACTCTTTTTGAATAGAACTGAGTCTAATTAACCAGTAACCAAATTTTCCCTTTAGGTTATTTTCATTTGCTCTGTCTTTCCATCTCTCTCCTTCAGCTCTGCACAACAGAAGCACCTCAGCCACCCTTGGTTCCTCCCTCTTGAACCACCTGTTAGAGGGATTCTGATTGTACCCATGACTCGGTTTCCTGTGAGGATGCACTCAGGCTCCTCTTGTCACTGCTCACAATGACACACCAAGGCAGCAGCAGAGTTTACCTCACCGTGACCCTGGGATTAACTGTTTTACAGTCACAGAGAAAGCCCATTAAAATGACCATGACCTCACTTTAAATGTTTATTAATTCACACATTTAGGCACTGACACATACTCCTTTACATTGCTCTATGTGATGCTGGACATCCAAAACCTCTTTGTAATGCTTCCCCCCCTCAGTTAACCAGTGTGTAAAGCCCAGTGCATAGTTTGGGACATGACTTGTCAAGCGACTGCCAGGATGGTGGAAAGGCAAACTAGATGGACCTTGGTCCTCTTTCGCTGAGCAATTCTTATGTTCTTATTGTGCTATGTAGTGGTTGGGATGCCATCATGGCGCCAAGATTTTCTCACACACCTGTGCAGCATTTACAAGGCTGTCACCACAGGGAAACAGTCTGACAATTTAAAAAAAAGTCAGAAGATTTTCCATTTGCTTCTGTTCTAACAACAAGTTTTTGAATTAATATAATTTTTTTATGCACATTAAAATAAAAGATGGCAATGTTGGGGAGTAGAATACTTCTCTACTCTTTATTTCTAAGCCAAGTGCAGCAGAAGTTAGATGTAGACTGAAGCTGCCAACTCTGCCAGCAACAGGCAATGAACCTTAGCCCGAATCCCTTCTCTTCCAACATCCCCCCCACCACCACACACACACGCACATGAATGTTGCAGTAATAATGATGATGAGGCTCACAGGTTGGTGCTGTGAACTAATATTCAATAAGTTTTGAATTGATACTGTGCCACTAAATTCATGTATGACACCTGACTGTGAAAGAGAAAACACTTTGAGCATTTTAACTCCCCCCAGCCCAGAGGTGAAGGAAGAAGGACTTGCTACCAAGAATGTCACTCAATAAATTCTTCATTATCACAGTGGACTTTATTTTGTATCACAAATAACAGAAAGAGAATGAGTAAAAGGTTTGGAGAGTTCATGTGCTGGGCACATACGAGGAATATTGCATTTAATTTTCTACCTTTTTCATTTTAAAAAGGCAACACTGGAGGTAAATTGTATTTAATAGTGAAGTTCTAAAGTAACACTTTGTAATGATGGATCGAATGGCTTGTGGCAAAAAGACAGAAGTGAAAAATGCAATGTTCCTCGCAACAAGTAATGAAAATAAAACCATTTCCTTCAATTGCGTACAGTTCCACGAGTTGCCCATAATTTATTGGGACACAAGACAAGAGGTCGCTACCGACACTGGGTCCAGTTCTTTACACTGTTAAGTGTGTTTGTTTGCACTGAGGTGGTGATTACTCATTCCTGCGCCACTCTCTCACATACAGGAAGCTTGTACATTGACTCCAGACAAAATCTTCCTGCTTCAATGATGGGCCCCCCCGGGTATCCCCATCTCCCACCTCTCAGTAACCCAGGACCAGCCATGACAGGTAACTGGCCTGTATTACCCACTTCTCCCTGGGACTGACACTTTACTCTCTTTTACCCCCCTCCTTCTCTTCCCCTTTGACCTGCACGAATATAATCCTTACACTTGATATGCACGTTCTCTGCATGTCTGGGTCCTGGGTGCTTTGGTTTGCATGACACTGCCTGAAACTGCAAAAAGGTTTGAAATGTGAATAAATTGATGGTTGACTTGTATTTCAATTGATCCTTCATTCAGGTAAGGACAAGGAATCAGCAGTCTAATATTGCTTGTTATCCAAGTTGCGAATGCCTTTTTTATAATAAATTGAGACAATCCCAAAAAAGCTGTCTCCACAATGAGATGCTGACAACGGTCAATCACCGTGGAACGTGCACTCTAATTAATTAACAGTTGACTTCATCAGCCACTCTTCATTATTGTTTTGTGGTTTCACAAAATTGAATTCAGCTTGAACTAATCATTAACTCAGTTTTCATTTCTTTGAAGTAAAATATTCCTTGTAAGTAGCTGTCTGAACTGAACCGGCTGTGATGATTATAATAATTATTGCATTTGATATATCACATTGTTGAATGTCTGAAAGTACTTCATGGGATTTACTATAAATTTAGCAACTGTATTTGTAGGCAAATGCAGAAGCCAATTTACACACAGCAGCTCAATCCCGTCTAGTCAATCGCCACATATTCAGTCGTGCTGCCTCAAGAGTCAGAGGCTCAAGGTAAACTGACAGGTCGACTCTACTGTAAATTGGCTGCTACATTCCCCTGAAAAGGCCATGGGTTCTTCAACGTCCACCTGAGCAGGCCCTGACAAGACCTTGGCATAAAATTTCATCTGAAATTTCATCTGATAGTGCAGCAGTCCCCATCGCATTGCAATGTCAGCCTAGACCAGAGTGGTCCAACTGACGGCCCATGGGCCACATCTGGCCCTGGGGATGATTTATCCCGGCATTTCCCTCCCTCCCCGGTAAACCATGGCAGCTGCTATGTGATGGAATCAAAAACATTGGTTGGCATTCCGAGAAAGGTCATCAGTTCTCTTCTACCTTATGTGCTTTACTGTGATGCATCAACTTGCATTTATATAGTGTTTTTCATGTAGGATGAATGTTCTGTAAGAGCTTCACAAGGAGAATTTGAGATTGTTGAACAGAGATAGACAAGAGTTGATGGTTTTGAAGGCAGGGAAAGAGGCAGGAAATTTGATTTGTAGAGAGTGGACAATAATGGCTGAAGGTTCGGCCAGCAATGATAGGATGAAAAGATTGAGATATGAGCCCTGAACTGGATTCAGAGGAGCAGTGGGGACCAACAGGAGAAAGGATTATGAAAATAGGGTGGGCGAGAAAGAGATTTAAAAATCAACCTTACAAACACCACTACAAAATGGGTAAGCAATGACAGCTTTGGGAGGATTGAATTGACCTGTGCATTAACCGTTCCCAATTCTTTGTGACGCTGGTACGGACAGCCAGGCATCAATTATTTCAATTCTTTAGTTTAGCGTATCTGACCAGCATCACCCAAATGGCAGTGGGTGATTTATAATGATTCTTAAAAACTGAGAGCTTTGACCATAAAATTGTTTCAGATTACTCCTCCCTGCACTAATGTGATCAGCAAAGAAATAGTTTGAATTCCATTGCATGTTAGAGTATCGTTGTGCTCCCAGCCCGCACAAGCCTCCAGCATAGAGTGATATTTTCCTTTGGCTTACAGTGAATAATGAGTCATGTTTGAGTTCAGTTATGGTTTAAAGGGAGAATGAGTTAGCTTTCCTGAGGGCTGATCAGTAAATGCACTAGTGTAGTGTTAAGGTCTGATTTGAGGTGGGTAGGCAGGCAGTGGTCTCAGTGCTAACCTGGGTTAGAGAGGAGAATAAGCCAGTCAGTTTTCCATGCCATTGATCACAATTGAACAACAGCTTGCCCTTATATAATTAATGCCTTCACATAGCGTCACACAGCGTCACAAAGGAGATTACTGAGAAGAGGAAAGTTTGAGCGTGATGACGCATAATCAAAGACGACAATAAGTACATTTGTACAGTGCCTTTCATGAAGGGATTGGGATCAGCAGGGTTGGAGGGCAGGGAAGGTTGGGGTAGGAAGGTGACCAAAGGTGCTGTTGAAGAAGAGGGTCTTGAAGTGGGCCTTGAAGGAAGCAAGCAAGCCAGAGGGACGAGGTGAAGGGACTGTTGGGTGGAGTTCCAAAGGGTGGGGACAGAAAGGCTGAAGGCCCAATCTCTGATGGTGGAGCAGGGGACATGGAGCAGCTTGGAGAGTGGCTTTGAAAGTGAGGATGAAGATTTTGAACTCTATCCTCTGAGGGATGGGGAGCCGGTGGAGCCGGGCGAGGGTGAAAGTGATAGGGTCATGAAGCCTGGTGTGGGAGAGGATATGAGCTGCAGAGTTCTGAATAACCTGCAGCTTGAGGAGGGAAGAGTTAGGAAGGCAGACAAGCAGGGAGTTAGCGTAGTCGAGCCTGGAAGTGATTGATGTGTGGATGAGGTCTCAGCAGCCTGAGGGGAGAGGCAGTGGGGGAGCCGGATGGTGTTTTAGAAGTGAGGGAAAGCAATACAGGTCATTACATTACAATATAAGTACATTACATTTTGTGCCTCCCTCTCCCCTCCTTTGCTAGAAAGTGTGTTTGTGTGTGTTGGGGTGGGGGGTTGATGGGCTTGGATTTCAGTTGTTCCATGGTTGACAAGTTTCCCAACCCTCCTGAGTTGAGAATCAAACCTCCCAGCTTTCTCTTGGTTAACAGTTTCTAGCTAATGGGAGCCTTTTTGAAGCATCACCAACAGGTTGACTTGGTTGCCTCTGGACCAACTTTGGGATTCATTTCCCACTCCAGGCTCATACCTCAGTGCAGTATTGTCGAAGGTGTCATTTTACAGATGAAACGATAAACTGAGATTGTATTTGCCTGTTTGGGTGGACATTAAAGTTCCATGTGATAATTGGAAAAGGCAGTTTCTTTCAGTGTCCTACCCAGCAATCCAGGTTCATTCACCTCATAGCTATTTGTTGGAATTTGTTGAGTGCAGAATGGCTGTATGTACATATTTTGACTGCAAAATAGTTGCTACACTTGACACTAATTAACCGTGAAGCACTTTGGAGACGTGCAATATTTTGAGATGATATAAAAATGCAACCGGGGGGTGGGGGAGAGTAGAAAATATTCAGAAGTTAATTTCCAGTGTAATTGCTTTGAATTACAGGTATAGTGAGTTTATGATGACCTTGTGTTTACGGCTATAATAATAATAATCCTTGCATTTGATATAGTGCCTTATCACGCCTTCGAGATGTCTCAAAGCGCTGCACAGAATATACCGTGAGGTGTAGTGACGGTAATAAGTAATCAGTACTTGCAAATAACTGAAGCATGTTTGGCCTCCACATGATGTGTAGATGTTATAGAGTGCGCAAGCTTTATATATTACTTCTTGTTTTTCGCAAACGATTCTTCTTAGTCCAAGAACTTAAAGTTTCTATATCTTTTTTGCTCAACCAGGGCATCAAGCGGGAATGAACCAGCAACATTTGATGTCACCTTCCAGCTTTCCAATGCACAGACCGATGCCCCAGCACCACAACCCTGCAGATGACATCCAGGACGATTTCGACTGGGATTCCATTGTTTAAACTTTCTTCCCTCTTCCTGAAGGACAAGCCTTTTGGAAGCCCTTCCTGTGACATGACTCAGACATTCTTTTAGCTTCTTGCTTACTTGTGTCGGCCGATGCTGGCTACAATCGCTGGACTGACTGACTGACTGCCTGCCTGGACACAGCCGCCGTGACTGCACTAGAGAGCTGCACTTTTGGAAGGAAGGAAAGCATGCCTTCTATTCACAGTCACTACAGAAATGTGGAGTTACCGGGGTCAGCTGCAGCGGTAACGAGCAACGAAGCATTTTTTCTAATTCTGAACATTTTTTTTGTTTTCGTGTTTTTTTTTACAAACTGGGACCTGTGGGGATTGGCATCTCAAATAATGTCCCGTCTGGTTGGTGTGGTTCTGGTATAATGGGTTTGACAAAAGGAAGGTACTATTCAGTCTGATCTCGCTCCCTGTGAGTGGCATCTTCTGGGCCCCACGTGCCAATGTGCGGAGGAGGGAACAGAACATGAATAGGGATAATGAGGTGGTCTCCGCCGGAGTAGGCCAGGCACGCAGCTGGGAGATGTCTTTTTGCGTAAACAAGTTTCTTTCGTGAGAATTTTGATTCGATTTAATGGTGCTGTGGGGAAAACAAAGCTCTCAATTTTGTGCTGGAAATCCAGTTGCTGTACCAGTCGCTGTGTTGCAATCGATACCCGAGAGACGACATTCGAACACTGCAAAGGTGCTGTGTTAAGAGTCTGCATGAATTAGCATTTGTGCCCGCACACCAGCTTCCAAGTCCAAAAGGTTGGAATTCTCTCCCTGAAATCCCGTCGGCTGCTGAGAAAAACGACGACTCAAGAAAGCAGCTAAAATCAGGGCTAAGACAGTAGCTCCCACCCACGGCTGTGCAAAGTGTTGGTATCGGTCGTCTCCCATTGACTGAAAAAGGTATTGTTCTCTCACATTGAGCATTAGTGACTAGAGTCAAATAGTAATCTCCTTCGCAAATTCTGAGGCATCTGTGGTCACCTAAAGGCACGCAAAACAGGTTACAGAGAGAGCATGTAAGCTCTTCTGAAATGTTGAGCATCACTTTGGTTCTGCGAGTGCTCCAGTCACAGCTGGGGCTACTATTCTCTTCTCTGCAGACTGGGATGGGAGAGCACATTGCCAGCACTAGATGTGCAGCAGTGGGTTAAGTGACTCCGTCTGCTTCTCACACTTGTGTTGCAGCTCACCCCCAACCCCCACTTTTCAGATTTTTTAAAAAGTTTGCAGGGAGAAGCAGTGCTTAACTGCATTATAGAGCAGTGCTGACTGGATTATTGCACCCACCCTCTTCCCCCGGTTTCCTCTTCTCTCTCTCCACCACCCTCACTCCCCACCCCTCTTCCACATCTGTAGCATCTGCTCTCTGCTTTAATAGCGCTCTCAAAATTGCTGCACCATCTGTTGATACACAAATCTTTCTGCCCCTGCATTTAGAGATTTTAGGTCTTGAATTGTGTTCAAAACCAAATCTGCGACTGTCATGTGAACCTCTGACCACAGTATTGGGACAGGCGATGGCTCTGTTTGCGTTGGTGCACGGCTTCAGCTGCTCCTAAGCTCTCTTCCTCCTCCTCCTCCTTGCTCGGCGTTGGGTTGAGTGGCAGGTTCAGAGTGCGTTTTATATTTTATTTTGAAGCTGATTTTTTTGGGCCCGGAACATCAATCCTTGTCCAGTCATACAGGTCTGGTGGGCTGCCAGGCACTCAACTCGCTCTCCCTGCGCTGCCACCAATTCTAGGTTTCTGCCACAAGAGACCGTGGGAACCTTTGTGTAACTCACTTGTGGCAGAAACCAGGCATTGAACACTTTCAATCACGCAATATCTGCTGATCCATTGTGACTGGAGGCAGAAATATTCTGCAGTTCCAGGTATCAGACAGGGCAGCAGTGCAGGTTCTGACCCTGGCTTGTTGGCTTTCTGAACACTCTTTACACTAACTCAAGTCACCCCATCGAACATATACTGACGTGCGGAATAGAGCAGCGAATGAATTTGGGCTACTAGGCTGGCGTTTTGAGGACGCTATTGAAAGCTGGGGTTAGAGGTAGAATTTCTTACTGGGAAGCCTTTGCTAGAAGAAATCAATTTTCACCTTTTGAGTGGTGTGTTTGGGTTCAAAATAACGGTGAGCTGAGAGGGATGGGCTGGTGGGGAGTTTGGAAGGATAAGATCAAATGGGCTAGAGAGCTTGCCTATGCCTCTCTTAGAAATAGAACATTTATAGACCGCGGAAATCAGGGCCAATTACCATTAGAGCCATTGGGTTTTATTGAATCTTCCCTGCATCCATTAAATGAGAAATCTTATCTAATCCCGAGCAAACTGAAGTCGCTAAAACAGCTCACGTTTCTGAATTCCTGAGACTTCCATCTCGTGCACTTTTTAAAATCCACATTTTTCCATTTGAAATTAATCATCTCTTTCATTCAAAACATCTGTGGTTCCTTATTTCACTGCTTTAATTCTTCAAAGCATGTCTTTTGGCCCCACCTCTGTGTCTTGTCTCTCTCCACCATCCTGCTTATTTTTCATCTGTCTTTTTATGCCCTTTTTAGCAAGGAAGGCAGTGATTTCACAAAGGAAAAAAAAGTTACCGTCCAAACTCAAGGCACTTGACATGGTGCTTCCGTCTGTTTAACCTTCTCACTGGTGTTAACACATTGACTGTACTGGGAGGAGGTGTACTGTTCACTCCAACAGCACGTCCCGATTGTGTAGCATCCAGTGAATAAAATGTGCATGGAACAGATTCAGTTCAGTAAAGGCTTTTTATTCCATAATTCACGGCAGATAACTGGCAGTATGCTATATATGGACTTGTATCTTGTACTTTAACCAGAGATATAGAATAAATGAATTATTTAACAGATAGTTTGGATTCTTGTCCTCACATGATCTCAAATGCTTCCATGTGCAGTTCCGTGTGCTAGACAGTCATTCTTGGGTTATTCGTCAGCAAATAAATGCAGATCACATCCATGCTCTTTCTTTTTAGAAACAGAATTTAGTGAAACAGAGGGGTGAGTGCAAACAGCCAGTGCTGCCGGCGAAGAAGTGCTGGAAGCTGACGGCCAGTGACAGGTCACAGTGACAGGATTAAGACAGACAGTCAAGTGACTGAGATCAAACAGAAGTCGCTGGGAACACGCAGCAGGTCAGGCAGCATCTATGGAGAGAGGAAAGTGAGTTAACATTTCAGTTTGATGACCTTTCGTCAGAACTGGAGAATGTTGGAAGCGAGCAGATTTTTTAGTCTAATCGATGCCTTTAGTCGATTGACTGAGGCCTGTTGCAACATCCCAAGATTGATGTATCAGTTAATTACAATTTGAGGGAAAGATTCCTGGAGATGTTTGCATTAGAAGGTTGCTAAAAATCTGCCTTTTTTGGTGGCACATACATACAAGCTCCATTTGGTATTGAAAAGTATTTTATACAGAAGCTGCATTCAACACTTTTATGCCATTTAGTTTTATGTTCCCCTCTGCACTGTTACTGATTTACAGCTATCATTTCATCTTTGTTGTTTTAAACATAACATTTTGCAGCACAGACTGGAGAGACTGGGGAAGAAAGTGTGTCACTCTCAGCTGCCAACACCTCTAGCGTGGAAGGAGAATGTGTCCATAGCTGAAACTAAATGTTGTGAAGCACAAACTAGTTTAGGGAGAAGTCAATCCAGGACTTTGCTGTGTAGCTTTCTCTATTGTGAGTGGGCCGGGGGAGGCAATGAGGTGATATTCTGTATGGTACAGAGTGCACAGTGCAGGAGCTCTTCACAAAGGCACCCTGGCACGGACTTCGTAGCCCGTAGCCCGATCACCCCCCCCCCCCCCACCCCCACTCCGCAGCAAGTGGTTCGGCTTGCTTGTAGGCCGGGCTTCATTTGTGGGCTTCCTGTGGAAGATGGCATGGATGGCTTGGGCGTGGGGTGGAGGGGCTGTGCTTTTGTTTGTCTGTATGTGAATGCAAAATAATATTTCTTCTAAGCCCTTGTAGGTAAAGTCAGCCAAATTTGGGTAACTCAAGCGCGCCTATAGGTTGAGAGGGTGTTGGCGTTCACACTGCGTGAGCAGGCTGCTGGTGTGTTGGTTCCCTGTGGGTGCTGTGAGTGCTGTGTGTGAGCTGTGTGAACAGGTTTGTGTTAAAGCTCTTGTTTGTTAAGGAAAGAGGCAGTAAAAAAGTATCTCTTGGGAGAGGCAGACTTGCGCGATATTGAGCAGATTGGCCTGAGGCCAGGTCGCGAAATACCGGTTTCTTGGGCAGATTTCAACCATTAATTGGTCGGTAACTATAGCTTTGCTGCCACTTCATCCTCTCACTGTGTCAATCATAAAGATACTGCTCCATTCACAGTTACACCTGCCTCTCTCTCTCTCTGCGCACTCCCACTTCCAGAGCGCGCCACAGTTCTATCACCTCACCTAGTCCCCTGTTTATATCCTCCTGATTTTCTTGACTGCTCCCTCCTCCTTGGCTGGAGTTGAAAACACTCATGTTCAAACCCTTTCAAGCCCTTGCACCTCCCTACCTCCCCAATCTGTTTGCTCCCCAACCCACTACCTGCTGCCTCCGCTCGACTGGCTCCAGCCTCCTGCATGTCCATCGGTGGCCGCGTTCTTTCAGCCACTGAACTCGGGTACACTCTCCTATGCCTCCGCCTCACCCCCTTCCTTCCCCATCTTCAGATCGTGCCTGAACACCTTCCTCTTTGACCAGTGCCTATGGGCACCTCCCCCTGGCTCAGCGTTGTGCGCTCTGGGACTCTGCCCTGAATGAGGGGACGCTGTGTAAATGCAAGTTGTTGTTGTTGAAGGACCTTTGCACTTTAAAATTGGAAGTTATATATTGAACAGCACAAAGGCCAGCACAATATTCTGCAGCTCTGCCCTCCTTTCCCACCTCCAGGGAACACATTATTGCACTGAAGATTCTCTTCAGATTGAGGAATAGTTGCTGAATGAGGAGCCCTGCATTTATAGGACATAGGTCAATAGGACTTGCAATCGGTGTTGCCAAGCCTGAGAATGTGTGTGTAATGACCTGTCAATGCCCCGTGTGCTCACAGACATGCCAGCTGTGGAGACTCCCACCCCTTCCTGACGTGTATAGAGAAAAATGGTCGAATTCTAGTTAAAACCTTTTGATGGAGGGGATCTGTTCAAGCTCCTGCTCCTCTCTCGCCAGCTCCCTCACATCCAGGAATGTTTTTAAAGCAGCATGAAAATTTGAATAAAAAATAACGATATTTTCTAAATACATTTTACAAATATATTTTTTGAAATTTAAGCTCTCTGGCACCGCTCGGGATGAATCTCCTCTAGTCCAGGCTGATGCTCCAGTCCAAGTGTGGGGGACCGCTGCTTTGTCCTTCGGATGAGACGTTAAATCGAGGTCCCGTCTGCCTGTTCAGGTGGACGATAAAGATCCCATGACACTATTCAAAAAGTGAAGGGAGTTTTTCTCTGGCCAGCAGTCTCTCAGCTAAAATTGAATCATTCACTTCACATTCATTTGTTTGTGGGACATTGCTGTGTGCAAATCGTCTCCTGCGTTCACCTACACATTACACAGTCACTACACTTTTTACAATGATACTGTGAAGTGCTTTGAGGTGTGAAAAGGCAGTATATCAAATGCAAGGATTATTTTTATTAATCTTCACTTCCCCATTTAAAAAAAAGTACAAAGTGTAATTTCAGATTGTTTTAGACTGGGATTGTTCAGCATCTGAGGCTCCGAGATTCTACCCCGTCTTAGTCTGTCAAATCCCTTTGCTTTAAATTTGATTGTGTAAAATACATCAATTCAGTTTCAATTTGGAAACTTTTACGCTGCAGTTTTCTTCTTAAAAAGAAACGGACTTCCAAATTAAAACTGAGTTTAAGATTTGTTTTCACAAATTTGCCTGATCTTCAATGATGCACCAAATGGTCTGACAGATTGGGACGAAGGCTAAAACTAGGGTGAATTTCAGGGCATCTGAAGTCTGTGTAAAAGCGAGTGCTCGGAGCAGAGGGTGTGGTGGTGGGAGACCGAAGAGTTAAAATCATCTTCATGTTGGACTTGCAAACGCTCCTCTGTGCCTGCCTGTGGCCAGAGGCAGATACGGGCTGATTTCATCAGCAATTTGAACAAATCTTGTTATTTTAAAAAGCAAAGGCCAGGAAGTGACACAAATGACAGAGAATGCGATGGCCTGAGACGGCACAAACTGGAGAGAGATGTATTTGATGAGCCTTCCACCAAAGGGGGTCTCCTACACATCAGAAACAGGAATGTTTCCCACCTTTAAAAGATGGATTCTATTTTTTAACAAAGTAATCATTGGAACTGAGAAATATATAAAATATGTATATATATATATATTATATATGTAGTGTAGCACGTCCTTAAAACAATTCTTTTTTTTCCCAAAAAATATTGACTTTCGGCGATGATTCAGTCTTCCCCTGGCGAGATCAGAGAGGATTGAGAGGCTGGTGGTAATGAGTGCAGTTGAGTTCTGTTAGACAGACTGAAAAGAGTTGAGCCAGTTCTTACAGGCAGTTCTTCCTTCTCCGGGAGGGAATAACCTTCACAATCTGGCTCTTCCCAACGGAATTATCACCAAACGGAGGCAGATACGGGCTTGCTTCAAACTGTTCCCCAAGGATGAAATGCACATTTTGACCATTGAGCGAGGGTTCCCTGAGCGCTGGGGCTGAGATTGGAAGGTGTGGAGGGAGGTGCCGAAGATTTGTTCCAAAGGAGAACTTACCTCAGCCAGTAAACTCTTGGTTTGAATGTTGAGTGTCCCGAGTGAAGGGAGACTTGCGAGAAAATCAGACTCCCGAGAAAATGCCGTGAAAATTCCAAGACCAGGGCCTATTATTTTACTGTTAATAAGTAGCAGAATTGTTACATTAGCGATTGTTGCTGCCATTGAGTCATTGCTTGAGGAGCACGAGAGGGTTTAAGTGGTGAATGGTTCTTTTCCTCCTTGTTCATTCTATGCTGGTGGGTTTCAAGGGATCTTTAGTTCATCCACAGTGCAGTGGATACTGGCTGCTGATGTAGCTGTCCATGTTGACCAGGACTGTTCTGTGCACTCATTCCCAAACTACCAGTGTAGTGAAGAACCAGATTTTTCTGTTCTAAAAATCCTTGTGATCAATTTCTCTGGATATTTTGGAAAATTAGTTATTTTGGAAAATGGCATCCTTATTTGATGAGAGCAAACACGAGAGCTTGATTATTGGGGATGTAGTGTGCGGTATTTCTTAACGGAGATTTCTTAATGAGGAATCCTCTTAGAATTTCCATTGAACGATGAGAAATTCTGCTCCGGAAGTAGATTGATTCCGTGTGGATTCCTCTGGGCAAAACCGATTTCTTATCAAAGACGTTTAGGATATACAGCAAATTATCTCCAGTGTGTCAAACAAAGATTACTTTATTAACCTGAACCGGGATGGGCAGAAGGCCATGGCATCAACTGTGCTTATTTTAAAGTTTTTTTCTTAGTAAAATAATAATAATAAAGGTTGTAACAACGCCTCACGCAATCTGGCCACAGATTCTTACAAGAAACCATTTCAGAAACATTGTCATTGAATTTCCGAAGTGCTTGTGTGCAGGTTCCCAGGTTATTTTTTATCAAAGATGGAATGCGAGTTTTTTGAAATACGAATCTTTGGTAGTACCTGATCTTGGGTTGTTTAATATAAGCCACTTCCCATGCAGTGTGTCCAAGTGCCACTCACTGTGAGGCAGGAGGCAGTAGAAGCAAATCCAACTCTTTCTAAGTATAAAACGGTGCTGGCTTTCAAGGCACATTTTAAAGAAGTAAAAAAAACATTTTTAAAAAAAGTTTGATGTGGTGTTTATGTGCTTAACTGTAAATATATTATTTTTTGTCTTTGAAATTGTCCTTTTATTTTCTGGGGTGGGAAAAGGGGCACAGGGGAGAGAATGGAGTTTTATTATATAGAGGAATACGAAGTATTTTGATATTGTGGATTCCCAGTGATGTATATATATATCTATGATGTATATAGTCTTGAAATCAATATGAATTTTTTGTGAACAGTACATTTACCTGTACGGCTGCTCAGCAGTCAGTGACTCAGTGTTTGTATGTTTTTTGTTATTGCACGTTTTATTAATCTTGCTAAACCAAGAAATGCACAGCTATCATTTGTATCAGTTTACTGCTGTAAAGTAAGTGGTTGCTGCCAGTAGTGATATGCATGGATGGCCCTTACAATAAACGCTGTCGCTTCTGTACATGTTTAAGGGCTTCTGTTCATCTTAATGATGTTTGTGAGGACTCACAGCTACATGCGTCTTCACAGCCACAGGATTCACCTCTTCGAAACCTGAGCTTTTGCACTTGTTTGTTTATCGGTGTGTTACATGTTTGGGTCGGCTGTTTCAAAGGACGTGTTCAGAAAGTACTAATGCAGATACAGACCTTCACTCCCACATGAGCCGAGGGCTGGTTACAGCTGTATCCACACTGCCTGCACCTTGCGTTTCCTATTAAAATAAAGTGTTTGTTTTGTGTGAGCGGAAGATGATGGTTTATCCTGAGAGAGTTCAAGGTCTATTCGCTGTGGATCACGATAGCCCATCTCAGGCGTGCCGCAAACAGTAATTTGTATCTACACAGCACACTTCACACGTGTTAACAATGGTGGAGCTTGAGGTCGAGCGGAGAGAGAGGAGATGACCCAGTTGAAGAGGAAGGTCTCAGGTGCTATCTGACGATGGGCAAGGAGGTGGAGGGGTTGTGGCAGACAGTGACAGAGCTTCGGGGTAGGGGCTAATGGAGCTGGTGGGGGTGAGGTGGTGCTCTGGGTGACCATTCCCGATCTGGCTGACAAACCTTCCAATAAATTTGTCATTCACTTCACAGCTGCTTGTGGGACATTGCTGTGCACTAGATAGCTACTGTGTTTGCTTAAAAAATACAGTCGCAACATACAGTAGTCTTTAATAATAAGGATTTAGATGATTTACTGTATAGTGTAGCGACTATTTTGTAGTGAATATAGCAGCCGATTTTCTCACAGCAATATCCCACAAACAGCCTTGGAGCAAGTGACCCCAATTTTAACTGGGGGATTGTCGGCCAGGATACCAAGAGAGAGAGAAACCCCTCTTTTCAAATAGTCCCACAGGATATTTAATGTCCCCTGAACAGGCAGTTAAAGTCTCATCCAAAGCACGGCACCTCCAACAATATTCAGTACAGCCTGAACTGGAGCATCAGCTCAGTCTGCGAGTTCAAAGTGGAGAACCCACAACTTTATGACTCTGAGGTTGGAGCTCTACGAACTCAGCCGGGCTAAAATCTTATACCAGTTGATCTATAGACCTGTGATGTGCCTTGAGATGTTTTGATGTGTTATAGAAATGCAACATCCTTCTTTATCGATTCGCCAATCGTTATTAAGTTGGTATTGATTCAGGCCAGACCCTCCCCTGCCTTGTCTGAAAATTAAAGGTTCCAGAACTAAACAAAGCCGCCTAAGCTGACACCTGTTGTTATCCCGATCGCAAGGTAAACAGAGGTTTGTGCAGTAAGGAGTAAGGACTAAGCTACAGGACTCCATGGTTGAACAGGAAGGTCTTCAGGTGTGAATCTGAAAGGGGGGAGGAGCACGAGGGAGAAAGTTCTGAAATTTCAAAGTGGTGATCATGCAGTGAGCCAGTCGAGCGGAGGCAGTGGGTAGTGGAGTGGAGAGTAAGCAAGTCAGAGAGGTGGTGGGGGGGAATGCCAGGGGGTGAAGGGATTTGTAAACTAGTGCGAGGATCTTGAAGTCGATCCGTTCAGTGATAGGGAGTCAGTGGAACCCTGCGGGGACTGGTTTGATGGGGGTACGGAGTTCAGAGCGGGTGAGTACGGGTGGCGGACTTCGAATTTATTGGATTTTGTGGACAGTGGAGCTGATGCCATAGACGGTGGAAACGGAATATTTCTATATGTTTGTTTCAATTTATTCATGCAGTGAAAAAAATTAAGAAAACATCAACCTCATTGGCAGATATGGGGCTTGCAGTACCAGCAACGCAACACAAGGCAGCAGCAACCATCAGACTTGATCACTGGGTTTGGCAAATTCTCAATGATTGAAGAATGATTCTTAATGATTCTTGTAACCGAACCTGAGAACAGGAGAAATTTAAAGGTCATTTTCCCATAACAGATATCAACGTCGTTATACAGTGTCGGCGTTTGCTCAGCGTTTGCTTAGTGTTTGCTCCTGCAGGAATCCGATTCCAACAACAACAACGCCCTGCATGTGGGTTAGCGTCCCTGCTCTTTCCCTGCCCCCCTCTGTCCAATTGTTTTAAATGACCCCCCAATCAGCTCTGCTGTACCCCCTCCTCCCGCCGCAGATCCTCTGCCTACCTCCCTTCTGACATCCCTCAGGGAGAGGAAGTCTTGCTGAACCTCTCCTTTTAACCCCCAAGTTACAATCTGGAAATCACGCCCTCTCGTCCTCGAATACCCGGCCAGAGGAGAGAGTTTACTGTGATGTAACGGCTCCCACATCAGGAGAATGTCTCATTGTGTGTCATGGGATCTGTTGTGAAGTGTAGTGACTATCAGTAGAACAAGAGGGCACAGGTTTTGTGTTGTAAAGGGAAATGTCAGGGCAGAGAGTGGGAAGTATCTTTACCAAGTGGGGATTTGATGACTGGAACAGGCTACAGAGAAGTGTGGAGTCCTGTAGATCAGTGGTTGGAGCACTCGCCTCGCAAGCCAGAGGAGCTGGGTTCGATTCCTGGGGGAAACCTTAGGCAAGTTTCCTTACTCCACACACATCAGTTTACTAGCGGTTAGTAGATTGGTAGATTGCTTTCCAGGGGTAATAATTTCTCTAAAACAAAAAAAATCCAATCACTCAATTCATGACTGTTTGTGAGATGTTGCTGTGTGCTGACTCGTTTAACCCACAAAATATACAATTAACTTTAAATATATTCTTGGGGGTGGAGGTAAGCGGGTCTCCCTGGAACTGGTTCCAAGGTGACATGTTTGACAATGGAGTGTTGGACTCGAGCCAACTCTCTGTGGTGGTCTTGATGGTGATCCTGTCCCCTCCACCCTCGCCCGGTTCCATTGGCTCCCCATCCCCCAGAGGATAGAGCTCAAAATCCTCGTTCTCACCTTCAAGGCCTCCACGGTTTTACTCCTTCCAAACTCTGTGTCATGCTAACTCTATATGTGGAGTCCTGTAGCTCAGTGGTTAGAGCACTCGCTTTGCAAGTGAGAGACCTGAGTTCAATTCCAGGCAGAGGGCCAAACCTTGGGCAAGTTTCCTTACTCCACACAGAGCCTAATAATAATCCCTCCAAAGCAAAACAATGATAAATTGGTCATTTTCAATCCATGACTGTTTGTGGGACACTGCTGTGTGCAATTGGCTGCCGCGTTCGCCCACAAATATACAGTCAATTCACTTTACAGTATATTCTGTGAAGCGCTTTGAGATGTCGAGAAGACGTGATAAGGCGCTATATCAAATGCAGGGATTATTATTATTATCCAGGGTTGGCTCCATTCTGACATTCCATTACCAGGCATGTCACCTTGGAGGCAGTTCAGCTGCAAGGAGACCCCACTTACCTCCCCCCACCCCCCCATCCTTCAGCCGATCTGCCCCCACCCTTTGGAACTCCATCCCAAAGTCCCTTCACCTTGCCCCCTCCCTTGCCTCCTTTAAGGCCCATCTCAAGACGCTTCTCTCGACAGCGCCACCATTCTACAGCCACCCTCCCTGCCCTCCACCCCTCCTGATCCCAACCTTCTGCTCGGGTCCAAATTCTTGACCCAGGCACTGGGTGCAGGGAGTCCTCCCACTCAGCTCCTGTTAACCCTACAAGCCAAAGCCCTAATGGGTAGGGTGGTCCTCGCTGGACAAACAGAGGAAAAGCTTGGCCAGACAGTGATATCAATGGCAAGGTTTGTGGTTTCAGTTGGTTAGATTCCAGCAGTTACCCCAACGCACGCTCTGGGCTCCCCCCAAACCTTGGCTCTTGCCAACCTGCGCCTAATACTTTCCGGAATTTGGTAAGCAGGATGTGTCCCTCCAGGGAGAGAGAGCGCATTCCATTCCAACAATCTTAAGCATGTTGATGGGTTTCTGCGTGTGTCAGACACCCGGCTGGACAAAAAAAAGTATATCCTGTGAAGTGCTTTGAAGCATCTCAACGGTGTGATAAGGCGCTATATCAAATGCAAGGATTATTATATTCTAAAGCATGGTTGGTGTTGTGATGGAAGGACACTGGGCAGATCTTCTGGATGAGATCAAATGAGACGAAGGGTTATTTGATCTGAAGCATGATCTTATCTCCCCCTCCCCTGGGGAGCCATCTAGTTTGAAAGAAAGCTGACATTAGCTGACATCTGTGTTGTGCCTCTGAAATACTCTGGAACACTCTCCCTCAATCCCTCCGTCTTGGCCCTTCTCTCCCCTTTTTCAAGTCCTGCCTGAAGACCTACCACTTTAACCATACTTATGGCCACTTGCCCCCACCCCACCTGCCCTCGGCTCAGAGTCAGGCTCTGCTACTGTTAAGCGCTTGGAGACGCTAACCTGCGTGGAGGGCACTATATAAGTATAAGTTGTTTTTGTCGTCGTTGTTGTCAACAGTTCAGTTCTGTGTTTAATTCAGTTCTCACCAGTGAACAGCCAGGAGAAAAGCAGCCATTCCTCACGATGTCTGGAGAGAACAACTCCTCACAAGTCAGAGGGCATTTGACCCCTTCAGCACCAGACAAAAACTAGTGTAACAATGCTGGACTTTGTGCTCACACTGACACCTTTCCGGCCTGTGTTTGGGTACAGAGCATGTGATGCTGAGACGACAAATTGGAAACGATTTGAGAAAAAAAACAACCTCAACATAGTCTCCGCGTCCCCCAAGGAGGCCTTGATTAGGAGCATTTGTTGGTATCTGCTTGTTGATGAGTTCAACAACAACAAAATTACATTTGTAAAGCACCTTTCACGTCGGGAGGACGTCTCAAGGCGCTGAACAGTCGGGGGTCAGGACCCGAGCATGGGGTGGGTGACAGGGTTGGGATGAGGGAGAGGATTGAAGTAGGAGGGCGGCTGAAGGCACAGTCAAAAAAGGTCTTGAGTTGAATGAGGCGAGGGAGGGAGCGAGGCAAAGGGACTGGAATGGAGTTCCAAAGGGTGGAGGCAAAGAGGCTGAAGGCCCTGCCACTGATGGAGGGTGGGTCGGGCAGGAGACATGGAGCAGGCCGGAGCCTGCTGAGCGCAGGGAGCAGACAGTTTGATAGGGGATCAGCAGGTCAGAGATGTAGGAGGGGGCAAGGCCGTGGAGGGCCTTGAAAGTGAGGATGAGGATTTTGAAATCTATCCTCTGAGGGATGGGGAGCGAGTGGACCCGGGCGAGGGTGGGGTGATGGGGTCATGGAGCCTGGTGCGGGAGAGGACATGAGCTGCAGAGTTCTGAATGATCTGCAACTTGTGGAGGGAGGATTTGGGGACCCAACAAGCAGGGAGTTTCTGTAATCGAGCCTTGAGGTGACGAATGCATGTGTGAGGGTTTCAGTGGCCTGAGGGGAACTTCACCCAGAAGGTAATTAGAATGTGCCAGAAGCTGTAGCCAATGCAGAAAATATCAAACTACGTTCCCCACATCAATGCCATGACCCACTCTACCTTCCCCCACCTCCACTCAAGGCCTCCTGGGGGGAAGTGGAGGCTCCTTTGAGGGTTTTTTTTCCCCCAAAAAATGTTTCCGATTTGTTGTCTCAGCGTCTCACGTGGGGGAAGGAATGTGAGTGGATCAAAAGAAGGAGGTGGGGCTGACATGGAAGGCAACCAGACGGGGAGATGGAAAGATGAGATTACTCGAAAGTCTTCGCTGACGTCCTCTGGGGCTCAGTTTATCGGCTGAAATCTTTTATTTTAACGAAATTTACAAATGGCTAATTATCATGAGGATCTACAAATAGACCGACTGTATTTAACCAACCAGGCAGGACTGTCCGAGAGTGACCTAGAGATTGTGCTCAACTACCTTCACACCAAGAGCATTATCAACTTGGTGGAGCTTCAGAAGGTAAAGTGTCCTCACTGTGTGTGTGTATATGGCTTTCTCTCTCTACCTTCCTGCTCTCTCTCTCTCTCTCTTTCTACCTTCACACTCGGTTGATCTGCCCTTCTTTTCCTCTTCCTCTCGGTGTCTCTGACTCGCTTACACAGACACGTTTGCAGGAGTTTATCTCTCCGAACCTGTTGTATAAAATGGCGTCTGTCCTTCAAGCGACGCACACTTTTCCCACGTGGCGGCCTCTCTCTGCGCCTGTGACACCTCCTCACGAGATGTCACTCCTGACCACTCCTGACTCACCGTCTGTCTCACTCACCGTCTCTCTCACACTCACCGTCTCTCACACTCACCGTCTCTCTCACACTCACCGTCTCTCTCACTCACCGTCTGTCTCACTCACCGTCTCTCTCACACTCACCGCCTCTCTCACACTCACCGTCTCTCACACTCACCGTCTCTCTCACTCACCGTCTCTCTCACACTCACCGTCTCTCACACTCACCGTCTCTCTCACTCACCGTCTCTCTCACACTCACCGTCTCTCTCACTCACCGTCTCTCTCACTCACCGTCTCTCTCACACTCACCGTCTCTCTCACTCACCATCTCTCACACTCACCGTCTCTCACACTCACCGTCTCTCTCACTCACCGTCTCTCTCACACTCACCGTCTCTCACACTCACCGTCTCTCTCACTCACCGTCTCTCTCACACTCACCGTCTCTCTCACTCACCGTCTCTCTCACTCACCGTCTCTCTCACACTCACCGTCTCTCTCACTCACCGTCTCTCACACTCACCGTCTCTCACACTCACCGTCTCTCTCACTCACCGTCTCTCTCACACTCACCGTCTCTCTCACTCACCGTCTCTCTCACACTCACCGTCTCTCTCACACTCACCGTCTCTCTCACACTCACCGTCTCTCTCACACTCACCGTCTCTCTCACTCACCGTCTCTCTCACACTCACCGTCTCTCTCACTCACCGTCTCTCACACTCACCGTCTTTCTCACACTCACCGTCTCTCTCACTCACCGTCTCTCTCACACTCACCGTCTCTCTCACACTCACCGTCTCTCACACTCACCGTCTCTCTCACACTCACCGTCTCTCACACTCACCGTCTCTCTCACACTCACCGTCTCTCTCACACTCACCGTCTCTCTCTCACTCACCGTCTCTCTCACACTCACCGTCTCTCTCACACTCACCGTCTCTCTCACACTCACCGTCTCTCTCACTCACCGTCTCTCTCACACTCACCGTCTCTCTCACACTCACCGTCTCTCACACTCACCGTCTCTCACACTCACCGTCTCTCTCACACTCACCGTCTCTCACACTCACCGTCTCTCTCACACTCACCGTCTCTCTCTCACTCACCGTCTCTCTCACACTCACCGTCTCTCTCACACTCACCGTCTCTCTCACACTCACCGTCTCTCTCACTCACCGTCTCTCTCACACTCACCGTCTCTCTCACACTCACCGTCTCTCTCACTCACCGTCTCTCTCACTCACCGTCTCTCTCACACTCACCGTCTCTCACACTCACCGTCTCTCTCACTCACCGTCTCTCTCACTCACCGTCTCTCTCACACTCACCGTCTCTCTCACACTCACCGTCTCTCACACACTCACCGTCTCTCTCACACTCACCGTCTCTCACACTCACCGTCTCTCTCACTCACCGTCTCTCTCACACTCACCGTCTCTCTCACACTCACCGTCTCTCTCACACTCACCGTCTCTCTCACACTCACCGTCTCTCACTCACCGTCTCTCTCACACTCACCGTCTCTCTCACACTCACCGTCTCTCTCACACTCACCGTCTCTCACACACTCACCGTCTCTCTCACTCACCGTCTCTCTCACACTCACCGTCTCTCTCACTCACCGTCTCTCTCACACTCACCGTCTCTCTCACACTCACCGTCTCTCTCACACTCACCGTCTCTCTCACTCACCGTCTCTCTCACACTCACCGTCTCTCTCACACTCACCGTCTCTCACACTCACCGTCTCTCTCACACTCACCGTCTCTCTCACTCACCGTCTCTCACACTCACCGTCTCTCTCACTCACCGTCTCTCTCACACTCACCGTCTCTCTCACACTCACCGTCTCTCACACTCACCGTCTCTCTCACTCACCGTCTCTCTCACTCACCGTCTCTCACACTCACCGTCTCTCTCACTACTCTCTCACACTCACCGTCTCTCTCACACTCACCGTCTCTCTCACACTCACCGTCTCTCTCACTCACCGTCTCTCTCACACTCACCGTCTCTCTCACACTCACCGTCTCTCTCACACTCACCGTCTCTCTCACACTCACCGTCTCTCTCACACTCACCGTCTCTCTCACTCACCGTCTCTCTCACTCACCGTCTCTCTCACACTCACCGTCTCTCACACTCACCGTCTCTCTCACACTCACCGTCTCTCTCACACTCACCGTCTCTCTCACACTCACCGTCTCTCTCACACTCACCGTCTCTCACACTCACCGTCTCTCTCACACTCACCGTCTCTCTCACTCACCGTCTCTCACACTCACCGTCTCTCTCACACTCACCGTCTCTCTCACACTCACCGTCTCTCTCACTCACCGTCTCTCTCACACTCACCGTCTCTCACACTCACCGTCTCTCTCACTCACCGTCTCTCTCACTCACCGTCTCTCTCACACTCACCGTCTCTCTCACACTCACCGTCTCTCTCACACTCACCGTCTCTCACACTCACCGTCTCTCTCACTCACCGTCTCTCACTCACCGTCTCTCTCACACTCACCGTCTCTCACACTCACCGTCTCTCTACACTCACCGTCTCTCTCACTCACCGTCTCTCTCACACTCACCGTCTCTCTCACTCACCGTCTCTCTCACACTCACCGTCTCTCTCACTCACCGTCTCTCTCACACTCACCGTCTCTCACACTCACCGTCTCTCTCATACTCACCGTCTCTCTCACACTCACCGTCTCTCTCACACTCACCGTCTCTCTCACACTCACCGTCTCTCTCACTCACCGTCTCTCTCACACTCACCGTCTCTCTCACACTCACCGTCTCTCTCACACTCACCGTCTCTCTCACACTCACCGTCTCTCTCACTCACCGTCTCTCTCACACTCACCGTCTCTCCCGTCTCTCACTCACCGTCTCTCTCACACTCACCGTCTCTCTCACACTCACCGTCTCTCTCACACTCACCGTCTCTCACACTCACCGTCTCTCACACTCACCGTCTCTCTCACTCACCGTCTCTCTCACTCACCGTCTCTCTCACACTCACCGTCTCTCTCACTCACCGTCTCTCTCACACTCACCGTCTCTCACACTCACCGTCTCTCTCACTCACCGTCTCTCTCACTCACCGTCTCTCTCACACTCACCGTCTCTCTCACACTCACCGTCTCTCTCACACTCACCGTCTCACCCCTCTCTTGCCTCCTTCAAGACCCTCCTCTTCGACTGTGCCTTCGTTCACCCTCCTATTCCCTACCCTCACCACCCTCCACCCCTCCTGATCACTACCACCAACTCGGGTGCGGATCCCTGACTGGCCAGCGCCTTGGGAAGCCCTCCTGACGTGAAAGGCGCTGTGTAAATGTCAGTTGTTTTTGTGTTAATACTGTGACAGTCTGTGACAGGCTGCCTGGCCTGAAGGGTGCTATTCAGCTGTTTTTGTTGTCGTTGTTCCTGTGAGGCCAGGCCTGTGTGACTCTCTCTCTCGCCTGTAGATATGGAGCCATTGCAGTTATGCTGAAAAAGATGGAGAGCAAGGAGCAGTTTGCGATCCCCAGCCCAGGGTTTGCAGTTTGGGATAAGCTGGCGTTTTAATAAACAATTCTAAACCTTCTCCCGCTTGTCTTTGTGTTCAGGACATCCTCCCAATGGGAAAGGCACAATACAAATGTAATTTTGTTGTTGTTGTTGTCACTGCCTGG